GTATGTCTTGGGTTGCCTGTCACACCTTGCTGTCTGTGGGATCCTGCTGTGTGAAACTGCTGTTGCTTATCTGTGCAGCACTGGTGACTTCAAGTCAAAGAAGCTGTGTCTACCTCATGAGACAGCCTATTTCAAACTGAACTTTGACAAATGTTGTAGAGGCCTTTGGTGCAGAATTATCTAGGATAATCATGAAAACTTGCAAGGGCTTTGCAAAAGGAGAGGATTTATTTGGGAGGGCTGTAAGGTAATGAGTTGAGTGAACAAGCAGCAAATCCGCTTTAATGCATAAATGCTTGGTAAAAAGAGTAAGAGAGCAAGCATGTCGTAAGCAGGTGCATTCTTAAGAGTGAAGGACAGTGAAACCAATACTAAATGGAGGGGAATATCTGTCCTTTATCAAATGTGGGGAGACTGGAGAACCTGGGATTCTTCACCTCTGAGCACAGAAGGTTAAATGGGAGATTAAACTGAGGCGTTTAAAATCCAGAGGGTGGTTTCAATTGAGTGAGTGAAGAGAAACTGTTTCTAATGGCAAGAGCGTTAGTCACTGGAGGAGACATAAATAGAAGGGAATTGGGGCAGGAGCCCGGGGTGGGGGAGATGAGAATACTGTTTGTTTATTCGGTGTAGAGACAGTGATAGGCTGAGTTTTGTTTTCACTTCAAATTTCCAGTGTCGGTGTATTTTGCTTTGTGTAATCTGATGAGCCTCTGTTGTACTCTCCCTCTTCCTGGCAGATATAATCTTCCTCAGATGAAGGGGAACAAAACACCAAGTCCCGATGTGACTGCAGGAGTAATTCCAACATTTGCTCTTTTGTTCTTTTGCCTGTTTTATCTCCAGGTTGGCAGCACCTCGGGGGCAGAGACGAGAGCCTGGCATCACCATGGCAATGCCCGCCCTTCCCCACCAGCCGGAGTGGGCCTCCATGAGGCAAGCTTCGAGCAAACAGGTGAGCCTATGGAGGGTTGGGGGTAGAGGTGGGGGGGCAGGGAGGCGAGTTGGAAGCGTGGTTGAGTTGGGTGAAACCAGGTTCACCAGAATGATTATTCAGGGGCCGTCTGTGCTGGTAGGACCTTTGAAAACATGAGGCTGAGCCCAGGAAGATTACAGAGAGGGTTGAGGGGAGGCCCATCGGTGTCTGTGGACCCACACCTCAGCGTCTGGCGGCTCTGCCCTGTCTTTCAGCGAGACTAGCAGTGGCCTCTGACTCTGAAGGTGTTTGGGGAAGGGTGGGTTGGGGATGTCGGGCCCCACCAAAGGTTTTGACTCCTGAACGAGGCAGTCATCCCTGAAATCCTGAGTATTGGAAAAAATGCTCAAGGCTTGAACATATTCCTTTTGTATACAGAGAAGGCTGTCATCAGAAGCAATTCTGCAATTGAACAACAAGTTTGAATAATTCCAAATATGCCAAGCATGACAGCCTGTTTTCAAATAATCAACCGATCTGCTAACATAGCTTGGCTCTACATTGGAATGTTTTTTGACAAAATCCAGGCATCCGGTTTCAAGTCTGAATTTTGTTTCAACTGATAGCACACCATAACTGAGCCCCGGCACCTCTTCTGCGAATCTCTTGGCTGACTCTGCTTTATGTACTATTCAATACAACTAACTAATTAGTTCAGCTTGTTACCGTTTGCCTTGTTACTTTGAACATAAAGGTATTTAGCATTGTATTAACAATTGGATACTATCAGTTTACTCTTGGCAGAAGTGATGTGCATTGATGTGCATGGAGCCTGTTCTCTGTAAATAAGCACAATATGTTCAAGGCTTGAGCCTTTTATGAATTACCAAAAGAGCTTGTGGAACCTATAACCTATTGGCTTTCTCTACAGCCAACCAGTCGCCAATTAATCATCACCTATTTCTGCTGTAGTAAAAATGGTTGAGGTTTTTGTTGTGAAAGGTCCTGACGTGTGTGAGAGGTAAAGCTTTGAAAATATATCAGCCTCTCTTCATCAAGATTCAGGTTTGTTCTTTCTTTTGGTTGTCTCTTGGGGAGCGATGTTAGGAGATTCCTTTGCTGACAGCGGAAAGGGAGTAGGGTGTAGTTAAAAAAACACCTGAATGGGAGGGCAACTGTGGTAGATAATCCAATGGGTAAATGTCATCTTGAATGGTTTTCATTTAAATCTTCAGAAACGCCTAGAAGAATACCTGAACACAATGCTTGAGAAATCCTTCTACAGAAACTATCGTGCAATGGTAATGTCAATCCCTGAGTTCCTCTCTCTCTGATGTCAGTCATAAAATCTTTGTGGGTAACTTAATGCTTCTGGTTTCTCTTCCTCCAACTCCTTCCTCTTTCTCTTCCTTGTAGCCTCCAAAGTCAATTAGAGAGATGCCGTTCTCTTTTATTAATGATTTCCATCTCTGGCGCACACAACTGTAGATCACCCTTGGTCTCCCCATTGTCTATAAGATCTGAACAAGTTCATCCTCTAATTGCCTGTTAAATCTGCTGTGGGATTTCAATATTGGTTCATTAGGCATATTGACAGTATGGTAGTTATTAATGTAATGGTGAAAAAATCCCCGAGAGTCCCTCGATCAATTCCTCAGAGGTTTCAAAGTTTAAAATCGTAGCCTTTGTTTTTTACCCCCTTATTCTCTGTCATGGTCTTAATGATGTAGGGTAGGCCGTTTAAGACTGAGATGAGGAGAAATGTCTTCACCCAGAGAGTGGTGAGCTTGTGGAATTCTCTGCTACAAGAGTGCTTGAGGCTAAAACGTTGAATGTTTTCAGGAAGGAGTTAGATATACATCTTAGAGTTAAAGGGATCAAAGGGAATGGGGAGAAAGTGGGAACAGGGGGGATTGAGTTGGATGATCAGCAATGATCAATATTGAAATGCCCAATGGCCTATTCCTGTCCCTATTTTCTCTGTTTCTATCTTTATGTTTCATTCTTACCCTCTATTCCTGCATCTCTCTCTCTCTCTCTCTCTCTCTCTCTCTCTCACACCATCCCCTCTTTTTTTTTGTGCTCCCCCCCTCTCTGCCCCACCCGTTTCTCTCTCTCTCTCTCTCTTAACCCCACCCCACAACACTCTCCTCCACGCCCCCTTTCTGTGAGAAGGATTCCCCACTTTAAAGGCACATCACTGTCTTAAAAGGGAGACTCCCTTTATGTAAAAGCTGGATAGTCAAAGGAGGATGAAATGATTAGAATGGTCCTGCTCCAATTTCTAAGTTTTTAGCTGAAAGGATATTTCCTCTTGTTAATAGGGTCATAGAGATCTTTAGCACAGAAAGAGGCTCTGTGGCCTATGAAATCTGTGTTGGTCAAAAACAGCCACCTATCCATTCTAATGCCAATTTCCCAGCTCTTTGCCCACAGCCTTATATGCCTTGGCATCACAAGTGTACATCTAAATACTTCTGTAATGTTATGAGGGTTTCTGCCTCTCCCAACCTTACAGACAGTGAGTTCCAGATTCCCACTATCCTCTGAGTGGAAAAGTTCCTCTCTTCCCTCTAAACCTTCTATTCCTTACCTCGAATGTATGCCTCCTGTTCATTTATCCCTCTTGTCGACCCTGCCTATGCCCGTCATAATTTTATGCATCTTAATCATGTCCCTTCTCAATCTCCTCTAAGGAAAACAGCCCCAACCTGTCCAATCTCTCTTCATAACTGAAACTGTCTAGCTGAGGCAATATCCTGGTAAATCTCCTTCGCACCCTCTCCATTTCCCCGTCACCACCTGTGCTTGCTGGCATTCACGGAATCCCAGTCAACCTATCTCTGTAATCTACACTACCTCGCTATCTCTGTAATCTACACTACCTCGCTATCTCTGTAATCTACACTACCTCGCTATCTCTGTAACCTCCTCTGCCACCAACACTCCTCCCTATCTCTGTAACCTCCTCCAATTCCAGCCTCTTGAGCATCCTCAGATTTCCATCGCTCTACCACTAGTGGCTATACCTTCAGTTGCCTGGGTCCGAGCTCAGGAACTCTTTCCTAAACCCTTCTGCCTCACTCGCTCGCTTTCTGGTTCATGATTGAATTATTAACAGTCACCCCCAAGGTTATGGATTCAAATCCAAGCCAGAGGACAGAAGTCAAGGCTGACACCCCAAGTGCCCACCCTGAGGGTGCTGCACTAATCCAGTACAGTTACAACATTGGCATCTACCTGACAATGTGTGATAGAGTACTCCCAATTTGCATGGATGAGCGCAGCTCCAATAACACTCAAGAAGCTTGACACCATCCAGGGCAAAGCAGCCCGCTTGTTTGGAACTTCATCCACAAACACCCACCACCAATGCTTAGTAGATGCAGTGTAAATGCAGAAATTCACCATAGATCCTTAGCATTTTCTGAGCCCATGACCACTACCATCTAGAAGGACAGGGGCAGCAGATACACGGGAACACCACCACTTTAAGTTCCCCTCCAAGCTACTCCGCATCCTGATTTGGAAATAAATCATTGTTCCTTCGCTAGTACTGAATCAAAATCATAGATCATGGAAACAGGCCCTTTGGTCCAGCAAGTCCACACTGATCCTCGGAGCATCCCACCCAGACCCATCCCCTGTAACCCACCTAATCTACGCATCCCTGAACACTATGGGCAATTTAGCATGGTCAATCCACCTATCCTGCACATCATTGGACTGTGGGAGGAAACTGGAGCACCTGGAGGAAACCCACGCAGACACTGGGAGAATCTGCAAACTCTACACAGACAGTCGCCCGAGGGTCGAATCAAACCCGGGTTCCTGACACTGTAAGGCAGCAATGCTAACCACTGAGCCACCGTGGCTGGAATTCCCTCCCTAAGGGCGTTGTGGATCAACTTACAGCATGTGGACTGCAGCGGTTTAAGAAGGCAGCTTACCAATTAAAAAAAAAAATTGGCCCAGACAATGATGCCCATGTCCCACAAGTGAATTTTAAAAAAAAAAGCCAAGGCCCAGTCAATGTCCTGTGATCACTATAAAAGCTCCCAGGGTCAAAAATTGGTAAAAGAGGAGGTGCTTGTTGTTAAGATGAAGCCTCAGTGCTACTAACCATGTTATATGAGTTCTATTGTAGATTTGCTGCCACCCTCCTGTGTCCTACTAAAGATCTATTAGGCCTGCTTTTGGCCTCACCATGAGAAAAGGCTCTTGCAGGATAGTGACTATGTATAAATGACTTTTGAACTGAAGAGAGACCTCAATATTATCTATTACCTCCGAGATCCAGATCTCCTCTTTTGTCCCGGGTGTGCATAATGTCATGTTGGAGAGGTGTTTCACATTGCTCATCAGCGTTAGCTCTTTCAGTGCCTAATGTGCCTTTTACATACAAAAGCATTCTCTCCCATGTCTCTCGGTTAAATTGGCAAATAAAAACAATGATTTTTTTTCTGAAGAAGGGTCCAGACCCGAAACGTCAGCTTTCCTGCTCCTCTGATGCTGCTTGGCCTGCTGTGTTCATCCAGCTCTACACCTTGTTATTCATGATTTGGTCGCAGTTGTGATGCTGTTTGTGGGATCATGCTGTGTTGAGAAAACAACTTCATTGGCTGTAAGGCACTTTGCAAGGCCCTAAGGCTGTGACAGTAGTTGTACAAAAGCCAATCTTTTTGGTTGGGGCATGCCCTGAAACCATGTGGCAGTGAGCCAGGGACCTCTGGGTTATGGTAGGCCTGGAGCAGGGACTCCAAGTGTTGTCAAGGCAACAGCAGCAGCAGAGCTGGGAGTTTGGGGTAGTGGGGGTGGCTAATGGTTGCGGCGTGAGTGGGGTCCAGCACGAGACCTGACATCGGAAGCTCATTGGCAAGGTATGCCCAGCGACAAAGAGATGGCACCTGAAGAGTGGTGACTCCGACATTGGAGCGGGGGGGTGGTTCTGGCACAGGCCATGAAATGGTGGTGGTGCAGGTGTCATTGGTCAGCTAACTTGGAACTCATCACGATTTATCTGTTGTCACATAAACCTTGAAGATACAGTGGAAAGTGTTTTGTTGTCACAATCCAGCGCAATTTTGAGGTACAATGAGGATAAAAAGAAGTTGCTTCAATAAGAGTTCATCTTCTGTTCAGTTGTCTATCAAACACGGCTTCTTCAAGGTATCCAGATCCTCAAGGAGTCCCGCTCCAGGGACAGCAATGGTGAGGCTGCTGACCTGGGGAGGCCCGGGTTCCGCTGCTGCTGGGAGTTCATGCTTTGGGCGTTCTATCACTGAGACTCCAGGCTCCGGGCACCTCCAGAGCTGTCAGGAGTTCCGGTTCGCTCCACCAATTCTGCAGCTACCACCACGCTAACACTGTTCCAACCTTGAAGATGAAGAAGAAAGAAAAAAAAAGATGTAGAGTACATAGAGAAAACATTGGTTCGGAGCAGATGGGCTCCAATGAGCCCGAATACTACCTACTGTGCCGTTGCCATCTTGTATTTAATGATGGGAGCTGTAGAACAAAGATAAGCTGTCTTTCAGCTATATCTTTTTATTCTTAAATCTTTGTTTTTTTTTTGAAGAAGTTCGTGGTTTATTTGAATAGTCAGGAATTTATTTTGCCTTTGAGGTATTTGAAACAGGACTGATAGTGACTAACTCACATCTGCTCTGGAATTCAATCCTCGATTTTTGAATTTGACCTCTGCTTCCATTTGTTGTGGTTTAACAGGTTGTGTTTAATTCTAGATGGCTTTCCTGGATGTTAGTGAACTGTCCTTCATCCCAGATTTGGGTCCAAAAGGCCTGTAAGTGATTTGACTTTTGTTGAGCTGTCATAGTACACGTATTTGCTCTCTCGCACACATGCTCACTTGCATGCACAGACACGCACACGCTCGCTGTCTCAAACTTGCACTCAGAGAATTCTAATACATACACTTCTTCTTTCTGTCTGTCTCTCTCTGCTTTTGTCTGTGCCTTTCTTTCTCTATTGCTGTCTCTCGTGCTTCGCTGTCACGCTTGCGCTCTTGTTCTCGCTCTCTCGCGTGCTTGTTCTCCCTCTCACTCGTTCCCCCTCTCTAACTCGTTTTGGTGATATTTGTGGGGAAACCCGAGAGCTGCCCACTGGGATAGCGTTTAATTTCAACACTCTGTTAACAGGGAGGCGATGATTGTGAAGCGATCAGGGGGACACCGAATTCCTGGTCTAAACTGCTGTGGACGACATAAAGTCTGCTATCAATGGTCAAAGAGGTCAGTCCAGTTTGGAACCTTGTACATGTGGTAAAATAAAGACATCACAAATGTATGTATGAACTGACCTTTCGACCAGTGTTCTGCAGTTGGAGTGAATCATTTCCTTTTACTTACTGTGTGCGCTGTCCATGTACAAGAGCTGATAATGAGATAGCCACACATGGGACTGTACAATACATGACAGGAGTTAATCATTCCCTTTTGGATACTATGTGATGCTCATGTTTCTGTAGTGCCTTTATGGCTTAATAATAATTTAATATTTGAAGGGAGTTTATTTGTCCGTCAAGGAAGGAAGCTCCAAGCGTCTACCACCCTTTTAATGAAAATGTGCTTCCCAATTTGACTCTTGAAAGGTCACCTTTAGATATTACGCTTAGTCCTGGCCTCCAGACCATGGGAAATAATTTTTCTGCATCGCCCCAGTCTGGTCCCTTAATATCTGAGAAATGTAATAAAAGTATTAACCTTCTAAACACAGCCCCAGTTGGATTTCTGATGAAGGGTCTAGGCCCGAAACGTCAGCCTCTCTGCTCCTATGATGCTGCTTGGCCTGCTGTGTTCATCCAGCCCTGCACCTTGTTGTCCCCAATTGGATAACATTGCTTTAACGTTGTTCAGTGTGCTAATATGCTCTTGTTGTTTTTTCTCAATTAGCATTTCTTTTCACCATTTACTCCAACCATAATTTGGTGTTGTATGCAAATGTGAAAGTTTCAGAATGTATTGTAAAGTTATAAAATATATGATTTTATGTACTGTCATTAAATTATGTTATATAACTGCTTGTAGCACAGAACTTGATTTTGCTGAAAGTAGAGATGCTTTTGTGCAACTTTTCTTTTTGCACTCTGACATGTGCAGGAATGCCACGTTTAAAACAATTCTTATTGGAGGAGAGAAAGGGAGTCTGTTTGGTTGGCAAGTGGACTCATGGGATGAGACATTGCCGTGGGGAACTATGGACTCACCCAAGCTGCCGAGAAATTTAAAAAAGGCACAAGGCTTGAATATATTAGGAGCAAAAACAGAAGTTGCTGGACATGCTCAGCAGGTCTGGCAGTGAAGAAAAAAATCAGTGTTAACGTTTCGGGTCCAGTGACTTTTCTTCAGAACCTGTTCCTGATTTGGAGCATCTGCAATTCTTTCAGTTTTTGCTTGAATATATTATTTTTTGTATATTACAGGTCCACTTCTGTTTGATTTGGTTTATCTATTGTCATGTGTTTTGTTACAAAATGCGGTGAAAAGCGTTGTATAGTGTCGCTATTCTCTGGCGCCATCTTAAAACATGGAAAAATAAACAAAAACGTAGAGTATAAAGGCAGAATAGTAAGGAATTTGAAGAAAGTGTTCAACATTGCAGTTCTTCTAAAGTGCTGAGCCATGGGCCTGGTGGCCAGGCAAGAGCCCCCTTTGCTGTGCCACTGCCACTGGAATGAAAGTCACCATTGTTTGGTGCCATCTCGCCTCCAACAATGTCTTCGCTAGACTTCACCAGTGGAGGCACCACTGATGCCACCGGTTGCCGCACCAGCCCAAACTCAATGCCAGTGTCCCCACGAGTCTGCATGGGGCTCACTTGAGTCCGCACTGGGCACTCTCTCACAGTCACCGATGCCATTGCCGAGCTCTTCAAGAAGAGGTAAGTAATATAAAACAGAAACAAAATGAAAACGGGGAAAAGAGAGGAGGGAAAAAAGGCTACACAAAGGAAAAATGGATTGAGTAGACGAGCCCCAGGTTCAGAAGCCCTCCTCCACCGCCATCTTACCAGATGTCATACGGAATATTGAATATATGATTGAACATAGATTCTTGCAAGTATAAATGAGCCACATTACAGGCAAGACTGAATAATTTTAAACTGATTGATTGTTCATGTTAACTAATGTTGCACTTAGTATTGTTCAGTCAGTGCTGTTCAACTGCAGAATCGTACCTCACAGCAGATATTTTTATTTTGGGTTTTGAAAGCGCAGGCTTGTGGTGCAAGGTTTGAACTCTGCCTGTTACAAGCAAACAGGACCTACAAAATACAAACCTTGCATTGCACCAGCATTGAAATTCATGCATAGAATTGCTCAAATTAATTGTTTGCGATCTGGTATTTTTGCATGGTTCCAGATGACTGCAAGACAAAATCTTCACCAACGTGTCTCTCTTTCAGCAACATTGCACAATATTATGTTGTATCATTCTTATCATTCCCAAACCGTGAATAACAATTCCTCCCCACACAGTTACTTGTGCCTTCTCTCTGCCTGAGTAAATTACTTTTTATCTCATCTCAGTATTTTGTGACTTCTAAATTAAACAGTAATTAAAGAATTTAGAAGTAATTGACTAATTTTATTTTTGTAAATTAATATTCCCTTTGAGATTTGCCATTCTATCCTGATGAGCAAGAGATGAAAAGTCTTGACTTTCAGCGATACTCAAGTTCTGTGCCTTTGAATGATTGTTATTAGTTTGTCTGGAGTTAAATTGGTTTTAACTGAAATATTCTCCAGTGGTGTAGCTGAGGCATAACTTGTTCTTTTTTCCAGGTGGATTGTCATTAAGGATTCCTTCCTTCTGTACATGAGGCCTTCGAATGGGGTCATCTCCTTCGTGCTCCTCTTTGATAAGGGGTTCAACGTCCAAGTTGGTAGCAAGGAAACAGGCACGAAATACGGAGTGATGATTGAAAATCTGTCCAGGTTCAACCTCTTGTCCTTTTGATCTGTTCCCCGGTCTCTCTGTTTATCTTTCTTGGAGGGGGATAGGGACAGGAGGAGGCCATTCAGCCCCTGGTACCCATGCTACCATTTGAAGAGGGTTCATCCTTTCAGACAAGACAGTGTGACTTTGCCTCAGAAGGTGGGGTATTGAATTTTTTTGTATTATTGTGATTGATTTTCCTGCTCACAGCTTCCCCCCTCCTCTAACTCCTTCCTGTGATGTAAGACTTGTATTCTGAGGAGACGTTCAGCAGGTTAGACCTATAGCCAGTGGAGTTTATGTTAGAACATAGGAGATTCTGAGGAGAATTGACATGGGGTGAGGGCATTCTGAGATGATGTTTCCCCTTCTCTTCAGATAGACTATAACTAGGGAGCATAGTTCAGAGCCGTAAACTGTTCCAGAAAGAGGCCATTCAACCCATTATATCCGTGCCTGTCATTGAGCGCCTATCTATTCTGGTCCCATTTTCCAGCTGTTGACCCACAGCCTTGTAGGCCTTGGCATTGCAAGTGCATGTCTAGATTCTTCTACAAGCCAGCTCTCCAAGTGCTTCTGCAGCCTCTCCACCACCTCAATAGTACTTGTCCCTCCACCTTTGTGTCATTTGCAAACCTAGCAACAATGCCCTCAGTTCTTTTGTCCAGGTCATTGTCCAATGTATAACATGAATAATGTGGTCCCTAACACTGCCCCCTGTGGATCTCTACTAGTCACTGGCTATCATCCTGAAAAAGACCTCTTCATCCCTACCCTCTGCCTCCTGCCAGTCAGCTAATCCTCTATCCATGCCAGTGTCTTGTCCTTAACACCATGGACTCTGGTCTTGTTTAGCAGCCCACTGTGTGGCACCTTGTCAAAGGCCTTCTTGAAATCTGAGGAGATCATATTCACTGGTTTTCCTTTGTCTAACTTGTTTGTAACCTCAGATTAGTCAGCCATGACTTCTGCTTGATGAAGCTGTGTTGACTCAGCCTTTTATTACCATGCACTTCCAAGTTCTCTGCAATCTCATCCTTTAATAATGGGCTCTAAAATCTTAGCAATGTCTGGGGTCAGGTGAACCAGCCAATAATTTCCTGTGTTCTGCCCCCTTCCCTTCTCAAACAGGAGTATTACACTAGCTATTTTCCAATCCTCTGGGAGCTTCCTTGACTTCAGTGATTCCTGGAAGATCATCACCAATTCCTGTACAGTTTCCTTAGCTATCTCCTTCAGAACTCCATCTTATCTGTAGTCCATCTTATCCAGGTGATTTATCTGCCTTCAGACCTTTCATCTTCCCCAGCACCATCCCCACCAGTACACTCACCTCTGTCCCTTGACTCAGCTGAATTTCTGGTATGCTACTAGTATCTTCTGCTATGAAGATTGATGCAAAGTTCCTTTGTTCACCATTGCTACTTCCTCCATTCTCACTTTTCAGTGGTTCAATGTCCACTTTTGCCTCTGTCCCACCTTTTACATATCTTAAAAATCTCTTACGATCTTCTTTTCCATTACTAGCTAGCTTACCCTCGTTTTTTATCTTTATCCCCCTATCTTTTTTAGTTATCTCTTCTGGTTTTTAAAGGCTTCCCAGTCCTCTGGCTTCCCACTGACCTTCATCACATTGTACACTTTTTCTTTTGCTGCTGTGCTGTCCCTGATTTCCCTTGTCAGTTACGGTTGCCTTATTCTCCCTTTAGTATGTTTCTGCTTCCTTAGGATGAATTTCTGCTGTGCCTCCCGAATTACCCCCAGAAACTCCTGCCATTGCTGCTGCACCGTTTTCCCTGCTAGGCCCTTCTTCCCTCTAATTCTGGCCAGCGCCTTCCTCATGGAGCCATAGAGATATACAGATCAGAAACAGGCCCTTCAGCCCAATTTGTCCATGCCGACCAGGTTTCCTAAACTGAACTAATCCCATTTGCCAGAGTTTGGCCCATATCCCTCTAAACCTTTGCAATCCATGTACCAAATGTCTTTTAAATGTTGTAATTGTACCTGCCATGCTACTTCCTCTGGCAGCTCATTTAATTAACTCACCATCATGTCCTTGTAGTTACCTTTTTACTCAATTGTAATACCATTACATCTGATTCCAGCTTCTCCCTCTCAAAACAGCAGGGTGGATTTTGTCATATTTTATCATGGAACCCCTGAGGGGTTCCTTCACCTTTAAGCTCATCATCAAATCCAGAACTGCCTGTTTCCTGGTGGGCTGTACTACAAGCAGCTCCAAAAAAAAACCATCTTGTAGACATTCCATGAATTCCTTTTCTCAAGATCCACTACCAACCTGATTTTCCTAGTCCATCTGCATATTGAAATCCCCCATGATTTTTTTAATAGTGCCTTTCTTATGTGCCTTTCAATCTCCTGATTTATCTTCTGCCCCACATCCTGACTACTGCTGGGAGGCCTGTACGTAACTGCCATAAGTGTCTTTTTTTCCCCTTTTGCGGTTCCTCAACACTACCCACACAGATTCTATGCTTTCCAACCCTATTACACTTCTTGCTATCGATTTGAATTTTATTTATTACTAACGAGGCAATCCCATCACCTATGCCCATCTCCTTGTCCTTTTGATAGGATGTGAATCCTTGCATATTTTAGTTCCCAGCCCTGATCCCTTGCAACCATGTCTCTGTGCTGCTCACAACATCATACCCACCAATTTCAACCTATGCTACGAGCTCATTTACCTTGTTTTATATGCTATGCACATTTAAGTACAACACCCTCAGTCCTGCATTGACCATCTGATTTCTCATAGTTGTCCTGTTATCTGCTGTTCTTGTGAAGTTAGATTCTTGAGCCTTTCCATACTGTCTGTCCCATGACTTGTCTGGAAACTTTAACCTCTCCTGAGCTGTCTTCCCCCTTCTAATTGTTTACAAAGTCCTTGTAACCTCAATTTGTACCATCAATTTGTCTACCTTATTCTGAATGCTTCGTGCATTAAGATACAAAGCCTTAACTTTGTTCCATTATTGAGTTTTCCTACACTTCTGTCCCATCAGAACGGCTCCCTCCTTCCCCGATACTAGCGCCAATGTTCCACGAGCCTGTTTCTCCCACACCAATCTTTGAGCCATGCATTCACCTCTTCAATCTTGTTGATCCTGTGCCAATTACCTCCTGGCTCGGATAGTAATCCAGAGATTAATACCTCTTTGATTCTGCTTTTTAATTTAGCCTCCAGCTGCACATATTGCCTCAGCAGAACCCTTTTCCTCTTCCTCTTTCTACCTGTATTGTTGGTACCTATGTGGACCATGACAACTGAATCTTTCCCCTCCTATTCCAAGTTCCTCCACAGCTCAGATGAGACCCCCTGAACCTGGGCACCAGGCAGGCAACACAGTCTTCAGGACTCTTGATCCTGGCTACAGAGAGCACATTCCCCTTACAAAACTATCCCCATCACAACTGCATTACCCACCCACGACGCCCCCCCACACCACCACCACCACCACCACCACCACCACCTCCTCCTTCAGCACTGGATTCCTTTTCCAGCACCACTCATAGTCACACCGTCCTGTATCTGACCACTGACTGAATTTGAGGTAGTTAAGCTGAGGGGTGTGACAATGTCCTGTAACAGTGTCCAGATAACTCTTTCCCCCTCTCTGATGTGTTGCGATATTCAAAGCTCAGACTCCATCTCATCAACTGAGTTTCTCAAACAATCGACACCTACTACAGATGTGGATGCTATGAGCCCTGACTGGGTACACCAGCATCCACATCATGCAGGTACAGCACATTGCCCTGCATCTTTAATTTGTTTATTCAGTTCCTAATTTTTTTTAAATCTCCTACTGGCCTTTTAGTTTTTAATTTGTAAACAATTTCTCCTATTTACCTTTAATTTGAATGCAATTTATAACAGTCAAATTAGCAGCTATTAACAACCAATGAACATACGGGTTTTCACAGGATGTCTCTCTTTATTTTGTGCTGGTCACCTGATCCTGAGCTTCAAGTTGTGCTGTTTCTAAACAAAAAACTTGCAAATTTTAAACCAAACAAAAAAGAAGCTAAAGTACCTCTTTCCCTCTTCACTGAATTCCCACGCTGCCTCCAATGTCCCCGAACCATGTACTCATTTGGCTGTGTCTCACTGTGGATGTGATCGCTGCTTCCTGATGCAAAGGTTTCTGTCTAAACTCTCCTGTCTTAGAAGGTCCACAGATTGGAAATCACTTCTGCTGAAGTGACTGCTTCCACTGATTCTTGATTCCCTTGCTAGTAAATTGTTTTATCTTTTGAACTGAGCTCTGGGTTCTTTCTGAACCTTTAGTTCTGAGGTCAGAACTCGACAATTTGCCAAAATGTGTTTATTCTGCCTGCTGTAGACTCAATGGAATAAATATTTTATCCATTAATACTCCGGGGCTTTTCCAGATACTCTACTCCGGTTCCAAGAAAGCATGCGACTGAAGTCATTTTGGAATAAAACTGAAATACATTCTGACTATCTTAAAAGAAACCCTTCACAGAAATGACTCTCATCCATCTGCCTCTGAAATCCATGTACTAAAGTATGTTAGATATGGTATGCCTTATGTCACAGTGTCATAAAGACATGCTTCTGGATATCGCTCCTAAATGGCCTGGCTGTAATTTTAAGTTCTGCCCCCTTATTATGGAGTTCCTATCCCCAACGCAACAAGAAATAATTTCTCTCTATATCAAGTATAATCACCTTAAATCATCTTGAGTCCATTCAGTAACCATAATGAACACACTACAATCTACAGTTTGTCTCATCTATTAATCAAGGATATAGTGGAGTATAAAGGAGTAATTTTATATTGAGTAGATTTCTCATGTAAATTAAGCACGTCTCCATTATCTCAGTGAATGGCAGAGCAGACTTGATGGGCTGAATGACCTACATAAGCGCCTATACCTTTTGCTGTATTAAGTTTTATTTTTTGTTGAACAACTAAAGAAAGCATTCAGGAAAATGACAGCCAAAAATGTGTTTGTCCTGCCCCGTCATGTCCATTATTTACCAATTGCTGGATATGATTTGATTTATTATTGTCACACATACTGAGATACAGTGAAAAGTATTGTTTGGCCTGCTAACAAGACAAATCTTGGGGCAGCATGGTGGCTCAGTGGTTAACACTGCTGCCTCACAGCGCCAGGGACCTGGGTTCAATTGGGTGACTGTCTGTGTTGAGTTTGTACATTCTTCCCGTGTCTGCGTGCTCCGGTTTCCTCCCACAATCCAAAGATGTGCAGGCTAGGTGGATTGGCCATGCTAAATTGCCTGTAGTGTTCAGGGATGTGTAGCTTAGGTGGGTTATAAGGGGATGGGTCTGGGTGGGATGCTGCAAGGGTTGGTGTGGACTTGTTGGGCTGAAGGGCCTGTTTCCACACTGTAGATATTCTATGTAATATGTAAAATCATACCTTACATAAATACATTAAGGTAAAAGAACAGAATTTGGAATATAGTGTTACAGCTACAGAGGAGGTGCAGAGAAAGATCAACTCTAATATATGAGAAGTCGGTTCATAAGTCTGATAAAACTTTCAAACTTTGGTACCTTCTGCCTGATTGAAGAGGGTGGAAGAGAGTAAAACCAGGGTGGGAAGTGTCTTTGGTTATGTTGGCTGCTTTCTTTTGAGGCAGTGGGAAGTGTAGATGGAGCCAGTGGAAGGAAGGCAGGTTTTCATGATGGCCTGAGCTGTGTTCCTGACTCTGTGTAATTTCTGGTGGTCTTGGGCAGAGCAGTTGCTGTACTGCGCTGTGATGCATTTGGATAGGATGCTTTTTATGGTGAACTGATAAGAGTCCTTGTGGACATGCCGAATTTCCTTAGCCATCTGAGGAGGTGGAGGTGTTGTTGTGCTTTCTTGCTTGTAGTCTTGCCGTGGATGGATCAGGATAGATTGCTGGTGATATTTACTCCTAGGAACTTGATGCTCTCGACCACCGTTGATACAGACAGGGGCATGTCTGCCACTCTGCTTCCTGAAGTTGATGACCCGCTCCTTCATTTTGCTGACCATTACACCATGCCACTAAGCTATCCATCTCCTTCCTGTACTCTGTCTCATCGTTATTTGAGATCTGATCCACTACAGTGGTGCCATGAGCAAATTTGCTCTGTGTGATTGAGACTATTACTTTGACTGAAGGGTAAGAAATAGGAGCAGCATGTGGCCTCCTGGGCCTGTTCTGTCACTCAATATAATTGTGGCTAATCTTAAGTTTCACTTCGCTTTTCCCTTCTGCTGCGCCATTTACCTTGATTCTCTGGGAGACCAAAAATCTGTCGATCCTGACCTTACACATATTCAACTTTGAAGCCTCCGCAACCTTCTGGGAGAGAGGATTCCACAGGCTCGCCACCCTCCCAAGTGAAGACATTTCTCCTCCCCTCAGTCCAAATCAGCCAACCTCTTCTCCTAAAATGTGACACTCCCCACCGATGTTCCAGATTCCCCAACCTCTGGGGTGAGGAGGGGGTGGCGCCCTCCCAGTGTGGACCCTTCGGAATTGTTTCAATCTGACAAGATCACCTGTCATTCTTTTCTCGCCATTGTGTAACCACTTGTTCCTAGGAATCTATTGAGTGGACGGTGAGCCCAGTGATTTACGATGTGGGAGAAGGTGGTATGCCCTTATATTCAGCACAGGCGTCAGGAAAGGTGAATTGAAGGATGACAAACTGAGAGTTGTGTGCAGCCTGCCTTTCACCAAAGCTCAGCAACACTCAGGAGAGCAGAGAAGTGTGGTTCTGGCAGTAGTGGTGATGGGCTGAATGGCTTCCTACTGCTAAAGTTCTTTTGTTCTTTATGGACTAGTTGGACCTGTTTCTGAGCCATGCCTCCAAGTCATGAGGAAGTCACAATGTCACTCTAGAATGTAATCTCTGGCTAAAAGCTCCTTCACCCACTCATTGATAATGATCAGCCCGACAGCAACACCGTGGTTTGTGTTAATGCAGTTCTTCTTGTTTTTTCCCCCCTCAGGACTCTGATCATTAAATGCAGCAGCTATAGACAGGCTTGTTGGTGGAAACAAGAGATAACTAATCTGGCTGAGAGATACGGCCAGGATTTCCTTACAGAGCACCGCTTTGACTCCTTTGTCCCTGCTCGACGTGACATCCAGGTTCGATGGTAACTATCAAACAGCCCCCTGGCTACACTCAGTTTCAGCTTTTATTTCCTTATTTTGTCAGCACAAGCATGAGTATTTTGGAGTGGAAACAAGGGCGTGTAATATAAGGGTTAATGTAAATAACTTCACATCATTATGGGGAGCTGATGTGAAATCACATGACTGCAAGGAGTCCTGATAATGCCCCTTGATAGTCAAGGTTTTACCATCACTGAATCTTCCACTATCAACATCCTGTGAGTTATCATTGGGCAGAAACTGAAATGGACTCGGCATATAAATACTTTGGATACACTAACAAATCAGAGGTTTGGAATGCGGTGTCAAGAGGGATGAGGTCCTGTGAGTGAGTATAGGGAGTTAGGGAAAAGGCTGAAAAGCAGGACCTCGAGGGTAGTAATCTCTGCGTTGCTACCAGAGCCACATGCTAGTGAGGCAAGGAATAGAAATATAGAACAGATGAATATGTGGCTAAAGAGCTGGTGTAGGGGGCAGGGTTCAAGGTTCTTGGATCATTGGGACCTCCTCTGGGGTAAGGGTGACCTGTAGGAGAGGCACAGGTAGCACCTAAACTGGAGGGGAACCAATATTCTTGCAGGACGTTCGCTAGTGCTCGGGAGGGTTTCAGCTAGGGTAGTGGGGGTCTGAGAACCAGAGCAGCAGGTCACCAAATTAAACTAATCCCTTTTGCCTGCCTTTGGTCCATATCTCTCCAATCCTTGCATATTCATGTGCTTATGTAAAAGTCCCTTAAACAACCCTATCGTATCTGCCTTCACCACCACCCTGGTAGCACGTTCCAGACTCCTACCGCTCTGTGTAAAAAAAAAACTTACCCTTCACATCTCCTATGAACTCCCGCACCGTAAATTCATGACCCCTAGTTTTAGACATTTCAAACCTGGGAAAAAGATGCTAATCGTCAACCCTTTCTATGCACCTCCTAATTTTATAGACTTCTGTCAAGTGTCCCCTCAGCCTCTGCCACTCCAGAGAAAACAACCTGAGTTTTTCTAGCCTCTCCTAATAGCTTATACCCTCCAATCCAGGGATCATCCTAGTAAACCACTTCTGCACCCTCTCCAAAGTCTCCACATCCTTTCTGTAATGCGGCAATTAGAATTGAACACAATCCTCTAAGTGTTGTCGAATCAAAGTCTTAAAGCTGCGACGTGGTCAATAATCATACGACGCCAGGTTATAGTCCAACAGGTTTATTTGAAAACAGAAGCTTTCGGAGCCTCACTCCTCCAGGTGCTAGTGAGAGAGGTAGTATCAGACACAGTTTATAAGTAAAAGATCACCACTGATGAGGATGGTTTAAACAAACCTAAGATGCTGTTAAATCTTTAATCAGTTAAAAGGTTTTAATTGGTTTAATATGTATATGTAAATCCCTGAATTATTTTCACGTCACGGTCGTGAGAGAACTAAAGGTTTTATTGCTGTAAAGATGAGGTGACATTTTAGGTTAGACTACCTCTCTCACTAACACCTGAAGGAGGAATGAGGGTCCGAAAGCTTGTGTTTTCAAATAAACTTGTTGGACTATAACCTGGTGTTGTGTGATTTCTGACCCTGTCCACCCCAGTCCAATACCGGCACCTTGATATCAAAGCAGCATGACATCCTGACTTTTGTACTCAATTTCCTGACCAATAAAGGCAAGCAGGCAACATGCCTTCTTCACCACCCTGTCTATTTGCATGTCCACTTTCAGGGAGCTATGGACTTGAACCCCAAGATCCCTCTGTACATCAGTGCTGTTGAGGGTCCTGCCATTAACTGTATACTTTTCCTTAGCATTTGATCTCCCAAAGTCCAGCACCTTAGTTTGATTTGGTGCCGTGTTCAGTACAACATCGTGGGCCGAAGGTCCTTTTTTCCTATGCTGTACAGTTCAACCCACTTGTTTGGCACCACATCCACAAACATTCACTCTCTCCACCACCGATGTTCAGTAGCAGCAGGGAGTACTATCTACAAAATGCACTGCAGCAATTCACCACATCTTCTCCCAAATGTGTGACCTCTTCTTTCTAGAATGAGAAAAGGCAGCAGATATATGGGAACACCACTTATGAAATTTCCCTCCAAATATTTAGCCATCCTGTCTTTGAAATATATTACCATTCCTTCAGTGTCATTGGGTCAAAATCCTGGAACTCCCTCCCTAGTGACATTGCGGGACTGCCTGCAGCAGCGGTTCAAGAAGGAAGCACACCTTCTCGAGGGCAACTAGGGATGGACAATAAATGCTGGTCTAGCCAGGACCACCCATTTCCAATGAACCAACATTTACTTTAGCTAATGTACTCCATTTCATAATATACTGTATATATTATTTACAATCTGTTTCAGTATTTCTTCAACTTCACAATAATTCTTTTCATCAACTTTTGGCAAGCCGTCAGCTGGTTTCTAAAACACTCCTAATCCTCAGATTTGTTCCTCTTTATTGCAATATTGTAAGCAGCTTTCTTACAATCTAATGCTACTCTTAACTCCTGGAGTGAGCCATGAGTTTCAGCTTTTTGATGGATTGTACTTTTGTTGAACATTTTGAATTCATTCTTTAAATGTTTCTCACTGTTTACTTATATCAAAACCCCTTAGTCTATTTACCAATCAATGTTCGTCAGTTACTTGCTTATACTCACTTATGTAATTGGCTTTTAGAACATAGCCCTTTCAAACTTAACATTTCCCTGTAGATTTTGGATGATAACATTAATTATTAATCCTGTTTCAATACTTGATTGAATTCATACTTGACTTCAGTGCTTGATTCCAGATATAAAATAACTGTATCCTTAATTGGTTTCACAAAATATTGCTCCAAGAAAATGTTACAAAAAAATCCTACAAACTCGAGTTCCTTCCTGTCTACCCTATCTATGCCCCTCATAATTTTATAGCATCATACAATTTAGTGCGGAAAGAGGCATTGAACCCATCGAAGTTGCACTGAAGTGTTCTGAAGAAGAGCCACTGGGTCTGGAACTTCAGCTCTGATTTTTCTCCATAGATGCTGCTAGATCTGCTGAGTTTTTCCAGCAACTTGTGTTTGTTTCTCAGGTCCAGCTTACTAACCTCGTTACAATCATTGCAGGCAGTGAGGGGAGAAGAGCTGAAAGGGCAAGTGTTCCAAGTTCTCCGATTGCATGGGAAGGTCTCATCGAGTGGGATGTGGTGGTGGGGCGGGCAGAAGTAAGCGGAAGAATGGACGAGGCTGGCAGAGATGGAATAATCTCTGGAGCATTGACAGGGGAGGGAGGGGTAAGATATGTTTGGTGGTAGCATCCTGCTGGAGATGCAGAAATGGCAGAGGTTGATCCTTTGAATGTGAAGACTAGTGGCGTGGAAAGTGAGGACAAGTGGAACCCTATCAGTGTTTAGGGAGGGTTGGAAAAGGAGTGGGAAATGGTTTGTAAATGGCTGAGGGCTCTGTCAAACACGGTGCTGGGAGGATATCCATAGCTGAGGGAAGAGGAGGACATGTTGGGGTCATCATTGTGTCTCATCAGAATAGATGTGTAAGAGACAGAGAAATTGAGAGAACGAATTGACATCTTTCCAGGAAACAAGGGCCTGAGGAAGTGTAGTCAAGGGATCTGTGGGAGTCGTGAGGTCTGAAATGAATACGAGTCGAGAGCCATCCCAGAAATGAAGTCCAGCAAAGACAAAGAACAGTTAGAGATGGAGCAAGTGAAGCTGAAAGAATGATAGAAACTGATGCATTTTCCAATTTGGAGGAGAGCTGGAAACAGCGTTGACACAGTCCTTGATGTATCAGAGATAGAGATGTGGATAGGGGCCTGCGGAGAATTGGAGCATAGCATTCCACACACCTCACCAAAAACTAGGTATGAAAGAGGTCCATGTGATATCCATAGCTACACTTTTTATTTAGGGAGTGAGTTTAAAGGAGAGATTATTCACAAAGTGATCATTGGATCAGCCAGGCGGAGGGGAGGGGAACGGAACGGAAGGGGAATATTAGATAGGGATTGTTCAGGTCTCTAGTCAAGGAAGAAGTGAAGAACCTTCAGACTGGAACTTTCCCTGAAATGCTTTGACTGTGTTTACATCTTTCCTTTAATAAGGAAATCAAAACTGTACACAGTACTCCAGATGTGGTCTCATTAAGGCCATGTACAGCTACTGCAAAACATCCCAACTTTTATATTCCAATTCTTCTGCAATAAATGACAATTTTCCATTTAACTCCCTAATCACTTGCTGCAGCTACCGACTAATTTTACACTTGATTCATGTACTGAGTACCCCAGATCGCTCTGCACTTCAGACTTCTGCAATCTGTCTCCATGTAAATAGTCTGCTGCTTTCTATTCTTCCGGTCAAGGTGGAACAAGTTCATGTTTAGCCAAGTTTTTTGTCAAAACTTTTTCCCATGCACTTGATCTGTCAATATCCCTTTCTAGCCTCCTTTAATGCTGTCTTCAGAACTTACTTTCTTACCAGTAGTTTGAGTCAGAAGGACGGGGTTTAAGTCTCCATCTCTGAACAGGCTGACTAAAATACCTACATTTGATCCTCTGTTATAAATCATAATTAATTGTGTCCCCAAAACTGATCCCTGTGGCATTACACTTGTCAAATCCTGCCAACCCAAAAATAATGCATCTATGCCCACTCTGTAGTCTCTGGTAGTTAACCAATCCCCATTCTGTGCTAATATGTCACCCCCTGCACCGTGTGCTCTCAGCTTCAGTATAAACCTTTCATGTGATGGCCTGTCAGTTGCCTTCTGGAAATCTAAGCACAGCAGAGTTTTGAATGTATTGGGTTAATATCGGTCAGGGAGAGCTCTCCCTTCCTCCTTTTGAAATCGTGCTGGGAAAAACAGCGGTCTTTTCAGAGATGGGTCACCCACATCACTGCAGCACTCCCTCAGGACTAGCAATGTCATCCTGAATTGTAGCTCCATGGCTCCACAGTGCGATTTGAACCCATAATGTTCTGTCAGAGAGGTCAGGTTGCCAGCCAGGGATCTGGAGATGATGCTGGGGAATTCTAAATCATGATCAGAGCTGCTTTTGATGGATGAAGCTGGTATATCTTAATCCTCCATCAGCACAGAATCAGCTGGGGATTAAAATTCCAGCAGGGCTGATCAGGGTAAAGACAGGAAGGATTTTCCAGATGCAAGGGGTCACAGTCTAAGAATACAGGGCAGTCATTTGGAACTGAGATGAGGAGAAATGTCTTCACCCAGAGAGGTGAGCCTGTGGAATTCTCTCTCACAGAAAGTGATGGAGGCCAAAACATTGGATGTTTTCAAGAGGGAGTTAGCTATAATTCTTAGGGTTAAAGGGATCAAAGAGTATGAAGAGAAAGTGGGCACAGGGGACTGAGTTGGATGATGAGCCACGGTCATTTTGAATGATGGAGGAGGCTTGAAGTGGCCCACTCCTATTTTCTGTGTTTCTATGAAGGGGGACCAGACGGAAAGGGCTGAATGGCCTACTCATGCTCCTGTTTTCATGTTTTTTGGAGGTTTGTGAATGGCAGCGAATACTTCTCTGCTGTAGCTGATGCTTTGGAGCAAGCCAAGGAAGATATTTTCATTGCAGATTGGTGGTGAGTTAGTTTTTCCTTTGTGTAATTTTCAACCATTAGAATTATCCAGATCCGGTGGAGGCAATTTGGCCTATTGTGTCTGGGCCACCCCTTCAAACAAGCTATCCATTGAGTGTGAACACCCAATGCTGTTCTTCCCTCCGCCCCCATATTTGAATTTCTCAAATTATCCAACAGTTTCTCTGATTTTCCCCTTTAGAAAATTCCAGATCACCACAAGTCCCTGCAGGGAAAAAAACAAATGATTCTTCTCACCTTGCCATTGGGTTCATTTCCTAATTGTCTTCAGTCTGTGACCTCTTGATCCTTTTACAACGGGAACAATTTATGTCTGTTCACTCCGTCTTAGGCCCCTTGTGGTTTTGAACAAATCTGCTCACCATTTGTCCCGGGAGAGTGTTACCAATCTCTCTGCATCACTGACATTCCTCATCCCCACAACCATTCTCTGAAATTTGTTGCACGTCCGCACGTCCTTTTCTGATGCTTCCTACACTGCAAGGTCTGCAAGAGAAAGTTTTTAAAAATGGAGATTTCAGCTTATTTTTGATTCCAGCTGTCTTTTATTTATTCATGGGATCTGGGCATCGCTGGCTGTCGCTGGTCAATGCTGATGTAGGCAATCCCTAATTATCTGGAAAGCAGTTAAAAGTCAACTATGTTGAATTAGGTCTGCACTGACATGTAGGCCAGACTGGGTAAGGGCAGCCGATTTCCTTTCCTAAAGGAAGTGACTTAGGTGGGTCATTGTTAGACTCTTAATTCAAGATCTTTATTAAATTCAAATGCCACCATCTACCTTGGTGCAATTTGAACCCAGATCCCAGGACACTACCTGTGTTTCTGATATAGTCTAGTGATAATACATCTCGCCAATACAACTCCCCCTGCCGTAAGTGGGAGGTGATGGCCTAGTGGTATTATCGCTGGACTGTTAATCCAGAGACTCAGATAATGATCTGGGTGCCCGGGTTCAAATCCCGCCATGGCAGATGGTGGAATTTAAATTTAATAAGTATCTGGAATTAAGAATCTACTGATGACCGTGAATACGTTGCCGATTGTCAGAAAACCCTATCTGGTTCACTAATGTCCTTTAGGGAAGGAAGCTGCCATCCTTACCTGGTCTGGCCTACATATGACTCTAGACCCACAGCAATGTGGTTCACTCTTAACTGCTCTCTGGGCAATTAGGGATGGGCAATAAATGCTGCCTAGCCAGCGACGCCCTTATCCTGTGAATGAATAAAGAAAAAAAGAAGTCCTATTACAAATGTCCATGCACCTTGTCCAGGGTTACCAGTTGTCCTTTTGTGAATTGTGTGGTGCAGTAATTTTCTGGATGTTTGGCTGTCAAGGAATTTGATTAATGCTGACTCTATCGTTTATCATTTGTAGGCTGAGTCCTGAAGTGCACCTCAAGAGACCTGCAAGGAGCAACTACTGGAGACTGGACAAGCTTCTGAAACGCAAGGCAGTGAGTCACAGGCAGGCTGGCCATTTTGGTGAAAGTGCACAGGTTCAGAGAGATTTTCAGAATGTGGGCATCATCAAGTCCAGCGTTCATTCCTCGTTTCTAATTACCTGTGAACTGAGTGGCTTGTTAGAGCCATTTCAGAGGTCGGTTAAGAGTCAACCATGTTGCAGCTCCAGTCCCACAGCATATAGGCCCAGACTGGATAAAGGTGGCAGATTTCCTTCACTGAAGGGCAGAAGTGAGCTAGATTGTTATGAAAACCTATCAATAGTAGTCTCATTGGCACTATCACTGAAGCTGGCATTCAATTCCACAATTAATCATTGAATTTAAATGCTACCAACATGGATGGGATTGGATTCTGTGTCCCCAAAACATTATCTTCTGGGTTACTAACAGAGAGTCATTGCCACAGTGCCGTCGTCTCCTGGGCACGGAACCAGGGATGAGAACTTCAGTGACATGAATTGATTGGAGAAATTGGGGCTGTGTGCTTGGAGTAGAAGAGGGTAAGAGGAGATTTGGCTGAGATATTCCAGACAGAGTAGAGAGAGGGAGACTGTTTCCATTATTCAGAGGACCAGAGGGACACTAACTGAAGATGATGATCAAAAACAGAGCAACATTGGTATGAAGGAAAATATCTTCATGCAGTGAATGGTTAAGGTCTGGAATGCACTGCCTGAGTGTGTGGTGGAAGCCAGCTCAACTGAGGCTTTTGAGAGGGAATTGGATCTGCAGAGATAAAATTGCATAGTTGCTGGGGGAGCTTGGGGAGTTCCTTTTTCAAGGACTAGCATGAGTATGACATACTAAATGGCTTCTTTCTGTGCTGTAACAATTCCAGAATTCAAGGGGGTTTGGAGCTGGAGTATGGCAAGGGGAACGTCATGGGTTTGGGAATTATACTGTTGTTGGAAGTTGTTGAATGCCCATGTTTCCATTTGTCTTTCTCCTGTGCCGTAAAGCTGAGGGCAACACTAAGCATTGTCATCATGTCTACTCTGGCTAAGGAATGGTCACTGACTCGGATACTGGCAACCTGCATCGGCTACCCACGCCAGTTTTTGGAGAAGGTTCCCCCTTGTTTTATTTTAGCAAGTCCAACTATTTGAGAGATTACACCATAATACAAACCTATAAGTATAAGAAACAAACTCAGAATATTAAACTTCACCCTGACGAGAGAGTCCCTGCCAATTGGACTACAGGGAATCTTGAGTCTTATTGGTGGGCAGCACCCACTTCTTTCTCTGGCAGAGCCTGGGTGAGGTGGCAGGAGGTTGGAATGTCTACTGAACTAGGCCAATGGGGTCCTGTATATTGCAGAACTAACCCACAACAGAAAACAATGTTCAGCAGGTCTGGCAGAATCTGAGGAGATAGGGGAACTGGGTGAATGGTCCAGATCTCAATGACCTCCTATCTGAAGTTAGCAAGGTCATGGTACTTTGATGATGGACAGAGTTAGAGAAAGGGAGGGAGAAATAACAGGCGTGTGATAGGGGTAGAAGAAGAGATAAAGGGATGATAGCACTGTGCAAGAGAAAGTGACATTGGGACAAATGAAGAGCTATCCAATCAAAGGGTAGGGAGGGCAGATTTTCCACCCCAGTGGACATTAGTGAACCAAATGGGTTTAAAAAGTAACTGGTAGTGGTTACTTAAATTGAAAGCAGAGCATAAAGATGCCTGGAATGAGCACGTTATACAGAAACAGAAAATAGGAGCAGGAAAAGGGTAGGCGATAATCTAGCAGTATTATCTCCTGGACTTTTAATCCAGAGACCCAGGTAATGTTCTGAGAACCTGGGTTTGATCCCGCCATGGCAGATGGTGGAATTTGAATTAGACTCTTAATTCCAGATTATTATTTAACGATGACCTTGAAACCATTGCTGATTGTCAGGAAAAGTCCATCTAGTTCACTAATGTCCTTTAGGGAAGGAAACTGCCATCCTTACCTGGTCTGGCCGACATGTGACTCCAGACCCACAGCAATGTAGTTGACTCTTAACTGCCCTCTGGGCAATTAGGGATGAGCAATAAATGCTGGTCCAGCCAGTGATGCCCACATCCCATGAATGAATAATTTTTTAAAAAGTAGGCATTCGACCCTTTGAGCTTGCTCTACCATTCAGTATGAACGTGGCTGATCATCCAACTCGGTACCCTGTTCCCACTTTCTCCCCCTACCCTTTGAACCCTTTAGCCCTAAGAACTGTATCTAACTGCTTGAAAAGCTTCAATATTTTAGCTTCATTGGCTTTCTTTTGCAGTGATTTCCAGGCTCACCATTCTCTGGGCGAAGACCTTTCTGCTTATCTCGGTTCTAAATGGCTTATTCTGTGCCCCCTCGTTCCAGACTCCCCTTTCTAACACTTGCCCTGTCTAATCTTGAGAATTTTATACGTTTCCATGAGATCCTCCCTTATTCTTCTGAACTCCTGTCCTCTTATGAGGAAAGGTTAGACTGGACTTTAGGAGGTTAGAAAAGTGAGGGGTGACTTGATTGAAGATTATAATGTCAAGACATTTCAGGATAAGATGGACATGGGAAGGTTTCTTTTGTGAAGGTGGGTGAGGGGGAGGGGGGTGTTGTTGAGGCTTGGAGGATAGAAAGTCCAGAACTAGAATGTGTAGTTTCAACATTAGGGATCGCCCTATCCAGGCAGAGATGAGAAGAATTTTGTTTTCTCTAATGGTTGTCTTTGGAATCGCTGCTTCACAGGGCAGAGGAGAGAGGTGTGGGAGGCGAAGAGTTATTGAATATTTTTAAGGCGACTTGGATAGATTCTTGTCAGGCTGAGGAATCGGGGGGTTATCAAGGGATGGATGGAAATGTGGAATCAAAAATACAAACTGATCAGCCATGTTCGTATTGAGTGGCAGAGCAAGCTCGGAGGGCTGAATGGCCTATTTCTGCTCCGAATTTGAAGGGATGTATGAGTTGGAGAATGTCAGCAGGTCCAGCAGTGTCTGTGTTTTGAGTCTGGGATGATTGTTCAGAGCTCTGTTTCTCCAGCACATTCTGCTTTGATTTCAGCTCCCTAGCATCTGCAGTACTTTTCTTTTATATGCAATAATAATTTCATGGTGACCACCAGCTGACACTAGACTTCAATTCTATATTTGAGTTGAGTATAAATCCCACCAGCAGTTGGAGTGGCATTTGAACTTGAGGGCCTGATAGCATTAGCCTGAGGATGACTGCTAATTTATTATTGTGAATTCCTCACAAGAATGGTCCCAGGGATGAGGAACCTCAGTGACGTGAATAGATTGGAGAAGTTGAGACTGTGCTTTCCTTGGAGGAGAGGAGATTTGATCGGAGTACTCAGCATCATGAGGGATCTGGACAGTGTTGACAGGCAGATAGTGTTCCTCTTGGAGGAAGCCTCAAGAATAAGGAGGTACTTGTGCAAGAGAATGAAGATAAAGCTGACTGAGACAAAGGGTTTGCATGGTCTAAAGCCTGTAGAGTGTTTCCAGCATCTTTGATTTTTGTTTCCGATTTGATTGTCTGGCAGGAGATTCCACATCGGAATCTCTCCAGATTTGAAAGTGCTGTCTTCAATTTGAATAAACTTTGGCCACAGAAGATGAATCAAACCCTTGACTTCTTTCAATAACAAGAGAAGCAGAGTCAACATTTCAATCCAATGTGACTCTTCGTTGGTCTGAAGAAGAGTAACTAGGCTGGAAAAATTAATTCTGTTTTCTCTCTCCACAGACACTCCCAGACCCGCTGTATTTCTCCAGCACTTTCTGCTTTGATTTAAGCTTGCCAACATCTGCAGTACTTTGCTTTGATCCTTGATTTTTCTCTCTTTCTTTTCCAGGAACAGGGTGTGAAAATATTTGTGCTGTTGTACAAAGAAGTGGAACTTGCCTTGGGCATTAACAGCGAATACAGCAAGCGAACTTTGACAGCGCTGCATTCGAATATCACGGTACAGTTTCTTTTGAGAGTACTGTGGTCTTTCATAATTGAGTTCTGCAAGGTAGGTTTCTCCATCAAGTTAAAGATTGTTGTGAGAATTACAGCCCAAAATGGGCAAATCTCATTATAGTCAATTTTACAGCAACGGGAGAGGCTCTTTAGGGGATCAAGGGTTACAGGGAGAAAGCGGGAGAATGGGGTTGAGGAACTTATCAGCCATGATTGAATGACAGAGCAGACTTGACTGAGCTGAATGGCCTAATTTCTGCTCCTATGTCTTAAGATCTTATGGTCTTTAGACCTTGACCTTGGATGAGCTGTGAATTAATCCACCTGGACTAAATCTGTTGATATTTTGAGGACCTCTGTTCTAAGGATTGGATGAGGGTACACATTTGTGTCGAGCTTGTGTAGCTCCTGATTCTAGGATTAAGAAGTTGTTGCTTTCCCCACTTTGGGATAGGAGAAGCTCCCCTCAAGCATCTTTAAACCATGCTATGCAATTTCCACCTTGTACCTGGCCCTTACTGACAGCTCCGTCGGGGTTCTCAGTGTTCTTAGAGTTGATCATAGAATCATAAATAAATGACTATAGATCATAGAATCCCTATAGTGTGGAAACAGGCCCTTCGGCCCAACAAGTCCACACCAAACCTCGGAGCATCCCACCCAGACCCATCCCCCTATAACCCACCTAATCTACACATCCCTGAACACTACAGGCAATTTAGCATGGCCAATCCACCTAGCCTGCATATCTTTGGATTGTGGGAGGAAATTGGAGCACCCGGAGGAAACCCATGCAGACCTGGGGAGAATGTGCAAACTTCACACAGACAGTTGCCCGAGGGTGGTATCGAACCCGGATCCCTGGTGCTGTGAGACAGCAGTGCTAACCACTGAGCCAGCGTGCCACCCACGTTTTGTTTCTCTATCTGTTAACGGTCTCAAGTCCAGAAACTTCCCTGCAGCCGAAATATTCTCTCTCTTGGTTTCCCTCTAACAGGTGATGAGACACCCGGATCATGTCTCCTCCACTGTGTTGCTCTGGGCTCACCATGAGAAACTGGTCGTGGTTGATCAATCTCTGGCCTTCCTCGGAGGGTTGGACTTGGCCTATGGCAGGTGGGATGACCAGGAGTATCGCCTGACAGACCTGGAAAGTCACCTGGTGCGTGCAGCTGTCTCCATCGTATTTGATTTGTTGCTCTCCATCATTTTTCACAATCCCCCTCTCTTCATCACCTCTTTTCGTCACCAAGTTTGTATTTTCTTCTCCCCAATCATCGATGGGATGTGTTTTTTTTCATTGAGGTCGAGAGGGTTAATGTTGAGCAGTGTCATAAGCACCACTCTCAATATCCTGATTATATCTGGAGTATTGTGTGCAGTTTTGGCCTCCTTTCTCTGTAGAAGGATGTTCTGACGATGAAGGGAGTGCCATAAAGATTTACCAACTGCTTCCTGGGAAGGCAGGACTGACATATGAAGACATATGAAGCGTCTGTAGATCAGTTAGGACTATATTCACTGGAGTTTAGAAAAATGAGAGGAATCTCATAGAAATCTATAAAATTCTAACAGGACTGGACACAGTAAATACAAGAAGGATGTTCCCAATGACTAGAGACTCCAGAACCCAGGGTTTTAAGGATATGAAGTAGGCCATTTCAGACTCCGATGAGGAGAAATGCCTTCACCTAGAGAGTGGAGAGCCCATGGAATTGTCTTCCGCAGAAGGTGATTGAGGACAAAACCTTTAATATTTTCAAGAAGGCGTTAGATATGGTTCTTGGGGCTAAAGGGATCAAAGGCCATAGGGGGAGAAGCAGAAGAGGGCATTGAGATGATCAGCCACGATCATATTGAATGGCGAAGAAGGCTGATTCGTCTGTTCTTGTTATTATGTTTCAATATAGACTCAAAGAATCCCTACAGTGTGGAAACAGGCCATTCGGCCCAACAAGTCCACACCACCCCTCCAAAGAGCATCTCACCCAAACCCATTCCCCTAACCCTGCAAGACTTGGCGTCTTGAAGGAGTGCAGTCTATAATCCTCATACTGTCTATAACTGGAGAAGGACAGCAGATTCCCTTCCCTTAAAGGGCGTTAGTGATCTAGATGGGTTTTTATGGCGATTGATAATAGTTTCATGGTTGCCATCACTGACATGACCTTATCAATCCCAGAACTTCTAATGAATTTTACTGGTTTGAGCCCATCACCTCAAAGTGGGTTTCTAGTCCAGTCACATCACTACGACAGCAATGTTTGAGAGGCACTTGGACAGACAGGGAATAGAGGGATATCTGCCTGCCACATGCAGGCAGATGGGATTAGTTTAGAATGGCATTGTGGCAGGCACAGGAACGGTGGCTAGAAAGCCTGTTTCTGTGCTGTACTGCTCTGTGCTGTATGTTCTATCATTGGGCCACATGCACCCTCAAGTATTATATGATGTATAATACAAACTATTTATAAACTGGGGGAAATCCTAAAATAATGAGGCTCACCCTGTCACAAACAGTGGTTAGATGATCAGCTAACCTCACCCAGTGATGAGACTTATATTCACTTAAATATGAGTTGATTGAAGGGATCAGCAGGAACCATCTCCACTATATATAGGTTTTGTAATAAGTAGTAATATACTTAAGATTACTTTAAATATGCAAAATCTTCAGATAATATGTTTAAAAGATATTATTTTGGATAAAAGTTTCTGTAAATAGTGGCTGCAAGGGAGGCAAGGCAGGGCCTCAGTTTAATTTCTCTTTGAAAGATTGACCCTTCCGACTGCGCGGCGCTCCCTCAGCAGTGGCACTGCGAATATCTGCCTGAATTATGGGCTCAAGGTTTCAAGGGATCAAGCTTTGACTCCTCCTCCTCCTGATGTAGACTGGAGAGAGTATTACTGTTGACCATCTCATTAATTGACATTGACAATTTGCTGCCTGCAGGTTCATAATCACAGTGAAGAGGAGCATCATGAGGAACCTCTGGATGTTAAGGGCATACCACTTGAGGTGAAGGAATGCCATTCTCGCTGTCGGGCAGACTCAACAGACTGTAACATAGCTGAACAGTTCTGGCTTGGAAAAGACTATTGTAATTTCATTCAGAAGGATTGGGTTGCGTTGGACAAGCCTTTTGAAGGTAAAATGAGCTTCCTCCATTTTAGAATTTGACCTTTCTCCCAACAGGCTGACCAGAAGCCTCCCTTTATCTCTGTGCTTCAGGATAAGCAGTAACTAATTCCGTGCTCTTACCTACGAGATAATCTCAAGTTCTTTTTGAGTTTATGCACTCATCATATTCCTCCTGAGAAGAGAGCGCACTTGTAATTAACACGCACTATTCCAGGGGTTATTGGTAAAGTATGAAAGACCAATTGAATGACTCTGACTACTGTCCAGGACAAAAGAAATTCACATCAGGTTTCATCGGTAAAGCAAAGGAACAAAACTTACTTGTTATAAACAAACTTATCCTTTAACAAAAGGCAAAACACCTTTATTAAATTCCTAGGATTAAATGATACTTTTAAACCAAAACACGCACTCATTCATTTACAAACAGCGTGGACTCAATGGGCTGAATGGCCTGCTTCCACACTGTAGGGATTCTATAAAAAAAACAGATTGCTCTGCAGAAATATCCTAGCTCGAAAACTATAGGGTGACTTTTGGCAATGATATCATGTTTCTGTCAATACCAAGGTGACAAAAGATCTTCAACTTGGTAGCCAGTTATTTGGACCTATATATTTGCTTGAGTTTAAAGTTCATCTTTTTAAAGTCTTTGAGTGTTGTCTCTTTTTCCCCTGAGAGGGGGTGAGAAAGAGAGAGAGGCCTGTCTTTGCTTGAAGGTTTCCTGTAGGTCTGAGTGCAAATGTCAATTCTCAGCTCCCTGACAAACCATAACTTTTAAAATCCAGAAGGCTGTTGCTAGGCAGCATTTCGACCAAAAGGCAGACCTGGTGTCAGCTTGTGCCTCAATAGTATCAAATCCAGCTTAACCAGTAAGGGGATACTCTACCATGTCACTTTTGATCTTTAAGTTGCAGAGGTGGCATGTTGGCTCATTGGTTAGCACTGCTACCTCAGTGTCAGGGATTCGGGTTTGTTTCGGGTTTGACTCGGGTTTGATTCCACTATCGGATGACCATCTGTTTGGAGTTTGCACATTCTCTCTGTCTGCATGGGTTTCCTCTGCGTGTTCCTGTTTCCTCCCACAGTCCAAAGATGTCCATGGTGGATTGACCGTGCTAAATTGCCCACAGTATCCAGGGATGTACAACCTGGGTGGGTTAGCCACGGGAAATGCAGGGGTAAGATCGGGTGATTGGGTCTGGGTGGGATTCCCTTCAGAGGATTGGTGTGGACTCAATGGGCTGAATGGTCTGCTTCCACAATGTAGAGATTCAATGGGAAAAAAAACACATCCAGTGCAACCCAGCAATGGCCAGACTTCCACATTTTTAAGTTTATGTTCTAAACTAAAATAATCTTTCTGGTATTCCTAATGCAAGGTTGGGTTCTGAGTCATGAGAGAGAGAGCACTTGAGCACGTGCAGATATCCAGAGCCCAGACATGCATCAGACCAGTCTCAATGTCCATGTAACAGCATTAGCTTAAAGCACAAGATAGAGTGATTTGCTAACGATTTTGAGTGAAGGAAATCTGCCATCCTTATCAAGTCTGGGCTCACATGTGACTCCAGACCCAAAGCAGCATGGTTGACTCTTAACTTGCCCACTGTAGCAGGCAGAATGGTAAAATAACATATTATTTGAATTGGGAGGGATAGCAGAACTCTGGTACACAGGAATCTCCGTGACTCAGTACATGAATCTCATAAAGCTAGTTGGCAGTCGTGATGAGTGATTAGGGAGAAAAATGGAATGTTGTAATTTATTGCAAAGGGATTGGAATATAAAAGTTGGTATGTTTTACAGCAGCTGTACAGTGTGTTGGTAAGGTTGCATCTGGAGCCCCATGTTAAGCTTTGGTCTTATTATTAAAGTAAGGATATAAATGGGCCAAGGGCAGGCAAGAGGGACTAGATCAGTTTAGGAAACCTGGTTGGCATAGATGAGTTGGACCAAAGGGTCTGTTTCCATGCAATATGACGCTATAAATGTGTTCAGAGTAGTTTAGAGTGGGTTCACGTGACTAATTGAGGGAAGTATCATATTTTGAGAGGTTGAACAGTCTGGACCTGTACCTATTAGTTTAGAAGAATGAAAGGTGATCTTGAATTAAATTGAATGCACATGACAATAACAGATACAGTGAAAAGTGTGTATCTTTGTTGTCCATACATGGTGCGATTCACATTGACTTAGAATAAGGTAAGAGAAAATAGATAACTTAAGAGAGTCTAACTTTCCTTTCCACTGCCACAGTCCCGCTCCGAAGCAAGTGGACTTATTAGCGATAGACAGCATGGTTTTGTGCGGGGGAGATCGTGCCTCACTAACATGATAGAGTTTTTTGAAGAGGTGACAAAGATGATTGATGTGGGAAAAACAGTTGTTGTTGTCTATGTGGACTTCAGTAAAGCCTTTTGACAAGATCCCTCATGGCAGACTAGTACAAAAGGTGAAGTTATATGGTATCGGGGTGAGCTGGCAAGATGGATACAGAACTGGCTTAGTCATAGGAGACAGAGGTAGTGGTGGAAGGATGCATTTCGGAGTGGAGGATTGTGAGTAGTGGTGTTCCACAGGGATCAGTGCTGGGACCTCTGTTGTACATGGACTGCATAAATGATTTGGAGGAAAACATAGCTGGTCTAATTAGTAAGTTTGTGGATCATAGAAAGATTAGTGGAGTTAGAGGATACAGCAGGATATAGGTCAGTTGGGGGCATGGGCAGAAAAATGGTAGATAGAGTTTAATCTGGACAAACGTGAGGTGATGCATTTTGGAATGTCAAGTACAGGTGGAAGTTATATAGTCGCAGAACCCTTAGGAGTATTGATTTTGATTGGATTGATTGTCACATGTACCTGAGTACAGTGAAAAGCTTTGTTTCTGAGCAGTACAGGCAGATCATAGTAAGCAAGGGCATACAGAACATAGGGTGAAAACATACTTGACTGAGTAAGGCGTACAGGTTACACTGCACAGGACATGCGCCAGACAACATCACCATTAACAAGATTATTTGAAATTAGAGAGTCTGTTCATCAGTCTAATAACTGTTCTTGAACCTGCTGGTGCATGTGTTCAAGCTTCTGTATCTTCTGCCTGATGGAGGATGGTGTAGGAGAGCATTACTGGGGTGCGATAGATCTTTCATGATGTTGGCAGCCTTTCCGTGGCAATGAGACGTGTAAATAGAGTCCGTGGATGGGAGGTTGGCTTCCGTGATGGTCTGGGCTGTGCACATAAACCTTCTGTAGTTTCCTACGGTTCTGGATAGAGCAGTTGCTGTACCAGGCCTTTTATGCACCAGGACAGTATGCTTTCTGTGGTGCATCTGTAAAAGTTGGTGGAAGTCCTTATGGACATGCCAAATTTCCTGTGCCGCCTGAAGAAGTGGCATTGTTGTGATTTCTTGACTGTTGCATCTACATAGGAAGTCCAGGACAGGTTGTCGGTTATCGTCACTCTGAGGAACTTGACGCTCTCGATCCTCTCAACCTCAGTTCCGTTGATATAGATAGAGGTGTGTTCTGTTTGATTTTCTTGTCACATGTCCCAAAATATAGTGAAAAGCTTTGTTTACACGCGGGGGGATCTGTGTGTGAGGGTCCACAGATCACTGAAGGTGGCAGCGCAGGTAGACAAGATAGTTAAAACAGGCCTATGGCATGCTTGCCTTCATTGGAAAGGGCATTGAGTGCAAAGGTCGGCAAGTTATGCTGCAGCTTTGTAGAACTTTAGTTAGGCAACACTTGAAATATTGCATCTAGTTATGGTCATCACACTACCAGAAGGATGTGGATGCTTTGCAGAGAGTACAGAAAAGTTTTTACCAGAATGTTGTCTGGTATGGGGGGATTTTAGCTATAAAGAAAGGTTGGATAGGCTGGGTTTGTTTTCAGTGGAAGGCAGGAGGTTGATAGAAAGTTATAGGATTGTAAATAGTATGGATGGAGTGGAAAGTATGAGGTTTTTTTCCCAGGTGGAGGGGTCAGTTACGAGGGGAAACAACGTTCAAGGTGCGGGGCAGTGAGAGGTGTTGTGGAGTTTAAAAGAGATGTACAAGGCAAGCTTTTCACACAAAGGGAGGTGAGTGCCTGGAATGCACTGCCAGATAAGGTGGTGTAAGCAGACACAATAGCAGCATTCAATAGCATGCACCTGGACGAGTACATGAATATGAAGGGAATAGAGGGATACGGATCCTGTAAGTGAAGACAGTTTTAGTATGGAAGGGCAAAATGTGTCAGTGCAGGCATGGAGGGCCAAAGGGCCTGATCTTGTGCCATATTGTTCTTTATTCTTTTTCTCTTTGAAATGGCCAAGCAAGCCATTCAATTCAAGGGGTATTCAGGGATGGGCAACAAATCCTGGCCTTGCCAGTGACATCCACATCCCTTGAAAATGTAAATTAGAACAAGCACTCCCTCGCTACTGCACTGATGAGATTTAGGGGACTGAGGTGGAGTTGGCCGCACAATCTTCTGACTCAGACAAGAGAGTCCTGCCAATGCAGACAAAGTTGATGTTGCAGTGACAGGCTAAAACTAGTAAAGGAATTTATTTGTAAATAAAATAATTACACTGAGCATGTGCCAGCAAAGAATCAAAATAAAATAAAATAAAATAAATGAGAAAAAGTCTAATATTTCCTTTTCCCTCCTCCTGCAGACTTTATTGACCGAAGCGTGACCCCACGTATGCCGTGGCGTGATGTTGGTGTAGTTGTCCATGGCGGAGCAGCACGGGATGTGGCACGGCACTTCATACAACGATGGAACTTCACCAAGGTCAGATCACTATGGTAACAGGAAGGCCACGTGTATTTTGTTTTGTCAGGCACGGACACAATCATTTTGTCAAATTTCATCAAGGTGCTATTCACCCCCAGTCCCATTTTCCCATCAACCCACAATGCCTCACAATCTACCAGAGCCTAGGAACTAACATCCCAATTCTTACCTTGAAATCCCTGCAGGGTCTTGCCCAGCCCAGTACTGGCAACCTCCGCCCTCCCTATCTCTGTAACTTCCTCCAATTCTGGCCTTGTGAGCATTCCCCAATTCCCATTGGTGGCTGTGCCTTCAGCTACCTGGGCCCTGGGCTCTGGAATTCCCTCCCTAAACCTTTGGCCCTCACTGACTGCCTGTTCAAAACCATGAGAGAGCTGGATAGAGTAGATAAGGAGAAGCTGTTTCCACTCATAAAAAGAACAAGAATGAGAGATTCAAAGTGATGTGCAAACGAAACAACGGTGATGTGAGAGAAAACTTTTTCACGCAACGTGTAAAGAATAAAGAACAGTACAGCACAGGAACAGGCCCTTCAGCTCACCAAGCCTGCACTGACACATGATGCCTTTCGAAACTAAAACCCTTTCGCCTGTACAAACAACAGCAGTCCCAACAATGATCCCTGTGGAACACCGTTGATCACAGATCTTCAATCAGAAAAATTCCCTTCCACTGCTGCCCTTTTCTATGACTAAGCCATACTCATCTTAGCAGCCCATTGTGGAGCCCATGTATTCACCTTTTGTGTCAGCCTGCCATGGGCAACCTTGTCAAAGGCTCTACAAAAATCCATGTAGACATCGACCTCCCTGCCCTCATCAACCGTCTTTGTCACTTCTTCAAAAAAACTCAATCAAGTTTTGTGAGACATGACCCTCCCTGCACAATCGCTAAATAAGTCCATTGTTTTTCAAATGTGAGTAAATCCTATCCCTAAGAATATTCATCAATAATTTCCCTACCACTGATGTAAGGCTCACTGGCTTGTAATTTCCTGGATTATCCCTGCTGCCTTCTTTAAACAAAGGAACAGCGTTGGCTATTCTCCAGGTCTCTGGGCCCTCTCCTGTGACTAAAGAGGATATAAAGATTTCATACAAGGCCCCATTTTCCTCACCTGCCTCCCTCAGCATTCTGGGATAGGTCTCATCAGGTCCCAGGGACTTGTCTACCTGAATGTTTTGTTTTTCAAAACGCCTAACACCACCACCTTTTTTATATTGACATGCCCTAGAATATCATCAAATTCCTCTCTAGACTCACCATCCAGCATAACCTTCCCTTCTGTAAATGCCGATGCAATGTATTTGTTAAGGACTTCACCCACTTCCTGCTCCATTACAGAATTATGGTCGCTGTTCCTGAAATGCTCCCCTGCTGACACTTTGATCACCTGGCTGGGCTCATTGCCCAATGCCAGGTCTAGTATGGCCCCTTCCCTAGTTGGGCTATTGTATATTGTTCCAAAAAAACATTGTGGACACACATAACAAATTAGCCCCCATCCAAACCCCTAACACTAAAGGAGTCCCAGTCAACAAAGGGGAAGTTAAAATCACCAATGACAAATGCCTGTTGTTTTCACATTTTGCATAATCTAACCACATGTCTATTCCTTTCTCTCTCTCCTGCAGGCTGTTGGAAGCCTATAATACTATCTCACCAAAGTGATTACATCCTTCCTATTCCTGAGATCTACCCAAATGGCCTCACTGGATGAGCTCTTCAATGAGCCCTCCTTCAGTACAACTGTGATATTCTCCCTTTATCAGTAACGCAACTTCCCTCTCTCTTTTGTATCCCTTTCTATCACACCTGAAACATCTAAATCACAGAACGTTAAGCTGGCCAGTCTTGTCTCTCCCTTAGCAACGACCTTTCGTGGCTACAACATCATAGTTATGTAAATCAATCCAAGCTCTTAAGTTCATTTTTCCCTACCTGTCATACTCCACATATTAAAACAAATATACCTCATGCTGCCAGTCCCGCCATATTCAGTAACCTCACCCTGTCTCTTAGCCTCAGTCTCAGTCTCCTCCTCGGTAATTTTACTTGTTGACCTACCGCTCTGGTTCCAGCCCCCTGTCCATACTAGATTAAACCCCGTCCTCCCCCAAGTGGCATATGCAAACCTCCCTGCTAGGATATTGGTGCCCCTCCAGTTTGGGTGCAAACTGTCCTCTTTGTCCCACCTGCTTTGGAAGATATCCTAATGATCCACGTACCTGAAGCCCTCCTACACCAGCTCTTTAGCCACATATTTGATTGTACTATCTTCCTATTCCTAGCCTCCCTGACATGTGGCACAGGAAGTAAGCCTGAGATTACAAGTTAGAGGTCCTGCTTTTCAACTTCCTGAACTTCCTTTGCAGCACCTCTCTCTTTCTGCCCATGTCATTAGGACCAAAATAGATCACAACCTTTGGCTGCTGAAATGTGCAGAATATCCTGTGCCCGCTCAGAGGTATCCTTGATCCTAGCAACAGGGAGGAAACACACCATTCTGGAGCCTTGCTCGTGGCCACAGAAATGCCTATCTGTGCCCCACCTATAGAGTCCTCTATCAGTATTGCTTGCCTCATACTAAGTGCTACAACACTTCTGTGAATCTGGTTCACTCTGTCTCCTTTATGTCATTTCTTGAATCCTTCCTCTGAGAGTTTTTGGTCACCTATCTAACACAACCGCATGCTGATAAAAGTAGGTTTGATAGCACTCCCGGTGGCATTTGTTGCTGTTTCTCATGTACATTAATGATTTGGACACAAATGTATGAGGATTGATCAGGATGGAGATGACCCAAGTTGGTAGTGTGGTAAAGAGTGAGGAGTAGAGCTTTAGACTACAGATGGGCAGAACAATAGCAGGTGGAATTTAGTCCTGACAATAGAGTAGATTCAAATTGGGAGGATTAATGAGGCAAGAGAGGACACATTCCAAGATAAGAATCAATAAAGTACAGTGGAACAGAGGGACTTTGAAGTACATGTCCATAGAGTCTTGAAAGCAGTGGGACAGTTCGATTAAGAAGGCATATGGGATATTTTCCTTTATTAGTCAAGGCATTGAATACAAGAGCAGGTAGGCTATACTGGTGCTGTATGTAACTTTAGTTATGCACAGTTGAGTATTGTGTACAGTTCTGATCGCCACATGCTAGGAAGCATGTGCCTAGATTGGAAATGCAGAGGAGATTGACCAGGATGTTGCCTGGGATGGAACATTCCAGCTATGAAGAGAAACTAGATAGGCTCAGTTTGTTTACCTGAGAGCAGAGGAGAGGCTGATTGAGATGCATAAAATATGACCGGCGCAGTTAGAAGTAAACTTTTCCCATTAGTAGAGGGGCTGGTTACTTGGAGTACTGATTTAAGGTGAAGGGCAGGAGATTTTGAGAGAACTTAAGGATTACTTATTTTGCCTGGATGGTAGTGGGTATCTGGAACTCTGAGGCAGGAACTCTCCGGATATTTAAGAAGCATTCAGATAAGCCATTGAAACACTGTAGCATACTAGGTTACAGGCCAAATGCTGGGAAATGGGATTGGAGTATATAGGCACCTGATGACTGGCATGGAAACAATGGGTTGAAGGGCCTCTTCCAGGCTGCAATGATTAATGACTCTTTTCCTTTCCCCATGCAGAACAACCCCAGATATGCAAGACCACTGAGGAACTGTAATTCTCTATCCATTCTTGTAAAGCTTGATGGACCTCTTCTGTCAAGCTTCATAACCTTTCTCAAGGCCCATGGCCACAATTGCAAATGATAAACCAGCTGCAGAAAACTAGTGTTTCCTGTCAGTTTAGCCGAGGTTCAGTCTGTTTCTGTTGACGCAGTGGACGATATGTTGGAAGAAAATGTGGGAAATGTTGCAACTCAGGCATTATTTTCATTTTTTTCAGACAGTGAAGCCAAAGTACAAGCCTTCGTGCTTCCCTTACCTGCTGCCAAAATCTCACACCACAGCCGATGATCTTCAATTCATTATTCCGGGCTCTGTCCCAGTTAATGTTCAGGTGAGTAGCTAAAACAGGAAGTGTTTATTCGCAGCTCCTGTCTGTCTATTACTGAGGAGCAACACACATTCCCGAAGCTTCTCATTGCTTGCTCATCAGGACATAATGCAAGAGTGCCAAATTCCAAAGTACCACAGCACGTTATACCACAGGAAGGAAGGGGGTGTGGCAGGTTGTTTATGATTGGCTGAGGCACTGCAATGGAGAAAGCTAAGAGGTATTATGGGCTACTGGATAATTCAAAATGGCACAAGGCCTTGGATGTATTCCTTTTGTGTGCAGAGGATGGGCCCCTCTATGTAAGGGCCAGTGGTCCATATGATGAGCTTTGTCTCTTTTTTCACATTGCCCAGGAGTGTGTGGGAGCTACTGACTTCTCCGTGGCAATGCCAGTACCAATCGGGGCTGACTTATCAGCCAATTAGCATTCTTTCTACCCGTAGTATAAATTGTTGTGATGGTTTGAAATTTGACTGCAGTCAACAACTTGAGCCAGCGATAGGGTGATAAGGTGGCTCGGTGGTTAGCACCTCTGCCTCACTGCACCAGGTGCCCGCGTTCGATTCTAGCCTTAGGTGACTGTTTGTGTGGAGTTTGTGCATTCTCCCCATATCTGCATGGGTTTCGTCTGGGTGCTCTGGTTTCCTCCCAAGATACATTATGGTGGATAAAACAATGGATGAAAAATGGGAGAATTTCAAAAAGGAGGTGAATAGGGTGCAAGCTAGATCCACACCCATCAGAAATAAATATGGAATATCCGAAGCTAGAGTCCCCTGGATAACTAAGCATAATGATTAGAAAATGAGGAAGAAAAAGGAGGAGTATGATGCATACCAGAATAAAATAGCAATAGAAATCAGGAAGAATATCTCAAATGCAGGAGAGGCTAAAGCTGGAATAAGTAAGTTTGAGAGCAAGCGTGAGGAAAGGATGGCAGGCTGTGCTAAAACAAATAGTGAAATATTTTTCAAGCACATTGATGGTAAAAGATTAGGGAAGGATAGAGTGGGGCCCAGAATGAACAAGCAGGGTAAGCTGCTCACTGAAGTAAAGGAATTGGCAGAGGTTCTAAATGAATATTTTGCTTCAGTCTTTATCAAATTAGAAGCTGCTGATAATGGCTTAGTTGAAAACATGGGTGTTGAACAACTGAACAGTGTAGTGATAGATAAAGAAGAGATGCTAAAAAGGCTGGCAGCACTCCAAATAGAGAGGTCACCAGGTTCAGATGGGATGCATCCTAGATTGCTGAGAGAGTTAAGGGAACAAATGGCAGAGCCGTTGACAAAAATTTTCCAGGCCCTCTGAAAACAGGATTAGTCCCGGGGCACAGACGATTGCAAATGTGACACTGTTGTTTAAGAAAGGGACAAAGGATAACCTGGGAAACTATAGACCTGTCAGCTTAACATCCATAGTGGGAAAACTGATGGAGACCATAATACAGGATAAATATACACTTGGAGCAGAAAAAGTTGATACTAGACAGTCAACATGGCTTTGTCAAAAGCAGGTCATGTCTGACAAATTTAATTGAGTGAGTACTTTGATGAGGTGACACAGGTGGTGGATCATTCATAAAATCCCTACAGTGTGCAAGCAGGCCATTCAGCCGTTTGAGGCCATACTTACCCTCTGAAGAGCATCCCACCCGGACCTGTCCTCCCAACTATCCCTATAACCCTGCATTTCTCATGGCTAATCCACCTAGCCTGCACATCCCTGGACACTATGGGCAATTTAGCATGGCCAATCCACCTCACTGAACATCTTTGGTCTGTGGGAGGAAACTGAAAGACCCAAAGGAAACCCACACAGACACAGGGTAAATGTGCAAACTTCACGCAGACACTTGAACCCAGGTTCCTGGTGCTGTGAGGCAACAGTGCTAATCAGTGAGCGATTGTGTTGAGGATAATACTGTGAATGTTATATTTGGACTTTCAGAAAGCATTTGATGCAGTTCCACATTCTGAGTTGGTTAGCAAATTAGAAATGTTAGGAATTATGGATCCTTAGCAGCAAGAATTAGAAGTTGGAAAAGAAACTAAACAGGGTGTAGGAGATGGGCATTTCTCAGAATGGAGACAAGTTTGAAAGTGATGTTCCCTGGGATCGGTGTTGGGGCCATTGCTTTGTCTGATTTTATATAAATGATTTGGAAATGGGTGTTGAGCAAAATCCCTAATTTGCAGATGATGCTGAGAGACTTCAAAGGGGCATTGGCAAGTTGATTAAATGACAGACTCCTGGCAGATGAATTTCAATGCAGAGAAATGTGAGGTAATGAATTTTGGTCGAAGAAACACTGAGAGACATTACAGGTTCAATGGTACAACTTTGAGGAGAGTGTAGGAGCAGCAGGACCTTGAGGTTTATGTGCATGATTCTCTGAAGGTGGCCAGGCAAGCTGAAACGTTGTTAAGAAGGCTTGTAGGATGCTTGGGTTTAAAAATAGATGTATAGAGTATAAAATCAAGCAGGTGGTGCTACACCTCTACAAATCAATGGACAGACCATATTTGGAGAATTGTGTTCAGTTCCAGGCACCTTATTTCAGGAAAGATGTTAAACCCCTGAAGTGTTCAAAGGAAATTTAATGGAATGATACCAGGAATGAAGGATTTTGGACACAAGGAAAGATTAGAGAGATTAGGTTTATTCGTTTTGGACAACGTCAGAAGTCACATGACACCATGTGAGTAAAGTGTCAACAGCTAAATAGCAAGTGAAGGGATGACCTCAGATCTGATTAATTGAGGCAGAGAGATTATTTTGCGAGAAATCAGAGAAGAGTCCGAAAGGACTACAGATCGCGAATCCAGTCAAGTCGACCTACAGCACAGACTAGCTGAGAGACTCTGCCGTTGTGCCTCTCGCACACCAGCAGCACGGCAGACACTGACCTTGAAATCAAGGTACAGTCCATGTTCTCAGGGAAAAAAAACTCTGCCTCAATTGATTGGATCATAGGTCATCCCTTCCCTTGCTATTCAGCTGTCGACACTCGCACATTTGTACTATCTTTTGACATTCTTAATTACCTGGAATTATCTTGTAGTGACCTGTCCAGTTATAAGTTCTGTGCCTGTGTGCTTCTCTCCAGTTCGCTTGACAAAGGAGCAGTGCTCCAAAAGCTTGTGTTTTCAAATTAACCTGTTGGATTATAACCTGCTGTCGTGACTTCTGACTTTGTCCACCCCAGTCCGACACTGGTACCTCCACATCATGACTTGCTCTTTTTGGAGCAATAAAGATTAGGAGGTGACCATATTGAGGTATTCAACATTTTGAACAATTTTGACACTGTAAAGAAGGATATTCTGTTTCCACTGTTTGGTGTGTCAGTAACTAAGGGTCATAATTTCAAGATTTTCACCAAGAGAGCGAGGAGTGAGATGAGAAGAAGCCTCTTTACTCAGAGTTGTTAGGATTAGGAATGTGCTGCCCAGGAGAGTGGTGAAGGCAGATTCCATAGGAGGTTTCAAAAGAGAGTTGGTATCTACTTGAAAGTGATGAAGTTACAGGGCTGGAGACTGGAATCAGCTGGGTCTCTCTTTCAGAAGTCAGTATAGACATGATGGGTCAAATGGCTTCCTTCTGTGCTGTAAAGTTCTATGATTCTAATTAGAAAATGGGATGGTGTTCAAGATTGAGGGACTTCACAAGAGGAAAAGAAAGGCAAAATGGAGAAACTTGCACTTATTCATCATTGCCACCATAGCCAATGACTGAAAGTACGTGAAGGCTCCTCGGGGCTCTTGCAGTACCGTCGCTGTAGTAAGGCAACAGGCCAAAGGCTGGGATATGGAATTAGGTCATACATCAGCCATGATTTCGTTGAATGTTGGAACAGGCTGAAGGACCTGAATGGCCACTCCTGTTTTTATATTAAAATAGAAATGTGGAAGCCTGTTTTCAGCAGAGCAAAATCCCACATCCAGTAATAACCAAGTACAGTGCTGAAGAAGTATCATTGGACTCGAAGCATTGACTCTGTTTTCTCTCTTTATATGCTGCCAGACCAGCTGAATTTTTCCTGCAATTTCTGTTTCACATTTTGAACAAATACACTGTTTTTGTGAAACCGATTGAGGGCTGTATATTAGTCCAGGGCACTGAAGAGAATTAATAACGCCCCAGAGATCTTTTAAATCCATCAAATGAGGCCTTGATTAAACAGAAACAGAGAGAGAAACTGTTTCCTGTGGTGGGGTGGAGATTTCCAGGACAAGGGGGTACAGACTTAAAATCTGAGGCAGATCTTTCAGGGTTGATGTCAGGAACACCCCTTCACACAAAAAGGTGAGCGGAAATCTGGATATCTTTCTCTGATCCACCCACGCTCCATCCCAATTCCTGACTGTGGCTCAGTTTGAAACGTTGACCCTGCTGACAGATTGTAACTGGGTAAGGCGATTAAGAGATGCAGAACAAAGTCTAGCATGATTGGAATTGCTAAGGGGGCCCAGTTCCATCTATACATTCGGTTTGGGACTGGGATTGCTGGCTGTCCAATCCAATTCACAGATGGGGCTTGTGAACAGCTCCTATGAATGTTGACAGGGCCCCCACCAGGTATTAAAGGATTCACAATTATTTTTAGATTGTGAATGATGGGCTCCTAGCAGAAAAGGTTATTAAATATTGAAATTTTTATCGTGAACACTTCCTCTTTCAGGTTCTCCGGTCAGTGGAATGTTGGTCTGCGGGTTCCAGTGAAAACTCCATCTACAATGCATACTTACATGTGATTCGTGATAGTCAGCATTTCATATACATTGAGGTAAAACCAACTTGGAGCAAGTGCTCATTCACCTTATTCATGTCTTCAGCTGGTGGTTGTGTCATAGAAGCATCCACTCCCTCCACCACTGATGCTTAGTAGCAGCAGCATGTACTATCTACAAGATGCACGCAGAAATTCACCAAAGATCCTCAGACAGCACCTTCCAAACCCGCAATCACTTCCATCTAGAATCACAAGGGCAGCAGATATATGGGAACACCACCACCTCCAAGTTCCCCTCCAAGTCACTCACCATCCTGACTTGGAACTATACTGCTGTTCCTTCACTGGGTCAAAATCCTGGAATTCCCTCCCTAATAGCATTGTGGGTCAAACCACAGCAGGTGGACTGCAATGGTTCAAGAAGGCAGCTCACCACCACCTTCTCGATGGGCAAGAAATGCTGGCCAGCCAGTGACGCCCACATCCCACAAATGAATAGAAAAGAACCCTACAGAGTCACAGACTGTCAGCAGTGTGGATGACTTTTGACATCCCTCTGAAATGATGAGCAATCCACTTGATTCAAGGGCAGTTGGGGAGTGATAACATGTGCTGGCCCTGCCATTAATGCCCACATCCCATTTTAAAAAAGAAAGTTCTTTTTAAAATGTCAGAAATAGGCCATTCAGCCCAACAGTTGTCTGTCTTTCTACCATCCACACCATTTTACAATGAGTCAGTCACCTCCCCAAAGCCTCCCCACCATCTACAATGCACAAGTCAGGAATGTGATGGAATCCTCCTCACTTCCCTGGATTGGTGCAGCTGCAACAGCTATCAAGCAGCTCGAAAGCATTCAAGACAAAGTAGCCCATTGGGTTGGCATCTGCTCCCTCCACCACTGATGCTCAGAAACAGCAGTATGTACCATAATCTCCATGATGCACTGCAGAAATTTATCCCAACTTCTCAGACAGCACCTTCCAAACCTACAACCACTACCATCTAGAAGGACAACGGCAGCAGAGCCATGGGAACACCACCACCTTCAAAGTCCCTTCCAAGCGACTCATTTGATTTGATTTGATTTGATTTATTATTATCACATGTATCTAGGTATAGTGAAATGTTTTGTTTTGTATACAGTGCATACAAAGTACATAGGGTAATAGAACAGAGTGAAGAATACAATGTTACAGTTGCAGAGAACATGCATCATCCTGACTTGGTAGGTAGACGGGGTGGTGAAGAAGGCATTCAGCATGCTGGCCTTCATCGATTGAGGCACTGAGTATAGGAGTTGGAATGTTATGTTACAGTTGTATAAAGTAATTGGTGAGGCCGCACTTGGGGTATTGTGCATAGTTTTGATCACCCTGTTATAGGAAAGACATAGTTAAACTGGAAAGTGTACAAGCAAGATTTACGAGGATGTTGCCAGGACTAGTAGGCCTGAGTTTTAGTTAGAGGTTGGCCAGGATAGGACTTTATTCCTTGAAACGTTGGAGAATGAGGGGTGACCTTATTGAGGTGTATAAAATCATGTGGGGCATAGATAGGATGAATGTCTTTTTCCCAGGGATGGGAATTTGAAAACTAGAGGAAATAGGCTTAAGGTGAGAGGAGAAAGATTTAAGAAGGGCCTGAGGAGCAACTTGTTCACGCAGACAGTGGTGCGTATTTGGAATGGGTTACCAGAGAAAGTGTTTGAGGCAGGTATAATAGCAGCCTTTTAAAAACATTTGGACAGGTACATGGATGGGAGGGTTTAGAGGGATATGGACCAAATGTGGGTAGGAGCTAGCTAAGTGGGCACCACGGTCAGCATGGACCAGTTTAAGCCAAAGGGCCTGTTTCCATGCTGTTTTACTCTGTAACTCTATGTCTCTATATCACTGTTTCCTCAGTGTCACTGATCAAAATTCTGGAACTCACTGCCTAATGGCATCGGGTGTTTCCCTAAAACACATGGACTGCAGCGGTTCAAGAAAGCAACTCACCACCAACTTTTTCAAGGGTAATTAGGGATGGACAATGTTGTTGGTCAGGCCAGCATTCACCCATACTTTGAGATTCTAAGAATAAGTAACTTTTTATAAAAAGAATTGGGTGTGGGGTGGGTGACGGATTAGTCTCCCACTGCTTGTATTCCACATCCCACAAACTGCTTGGTGTAGGAGAGATGATGGAGAGATTTCTGATGAAGGGTCTAGGCCCGAAACGTCAGCCTTCCTGCTCCTATGATGCTGCTTGGCCTGCTGTGTTCATCCAGCTCTACACCTTGTTATATTAACTGCTTGGTGTAAGTCTGTTTATACATTTTATTGTGTTTAACCTCTAGCTACGTCTTTTTGACCCTAGAATCAGTTCTTCATCACCTGTGCTGATGATCGCAGTGTCTATAATCAGATTGGAGATGTTATCGTTGAACGAATCCTCAAAGCCCACAGGTGAGGGACAATCTGAAAATGCACTGTCCCACTCCCATGTGTTGTTCCAACATTCAGTACAGTTTCCCTCAGGAATCATGTATTAGGTAAAGTTGTCACTGACCCTGAGGACTACAAGATTGTTCTCTCATTTGAGAGAGACCACTAGTGGGGGTTTAACCTTGAGGGTCACTATACCTCAGGCAAGGGGAGAGATTGAGAAGGAGAGTCCTTCATGGTAACCTCAACTGGTGTACACATTGAACCCACACTGTTGGGTCACCCTGTATCTCAAACCAGCCATTCAGAATTAGAACTCACTGAGCAGGGAAGCTGCAACTTTCTAAGTATTGGGTTTGACATTATCATCACTTCCTAGCCTCTAACCAAAATCCCTATCTCTGTAACCTCCTTCAATCCCTACACCCCAAATCCATATCACTAGAATTTCCCACAGTCCCTACACCCCAACTCTCTCTATCTCTGGAACCTCTTCCAACCCCTAGAAACCTTTGAGATCTCTGTACCCTCCAACTCCAGTTTCTTGAGGATGGCCTGACTCCTATCACTCCACCATTGGCAGCCGTGCAATAAGCATTAAAGTAGCCAAGTTCACTCTCTATACCTGTGTGCTCATAATGCTTGTGAAAATATAGCTCTTTGGCTAAACCTGGTCTTGTCAATGTAACTCGTTATAACCATCAGTGAAGTTTTCCCCTTAATCCTCTCTCAAGAATGTGGAGCATAAAGCTTCCCTTTCTTGTAGTTTGCTGTTTTTTTCCTGGATTAATACAAGAAAACATTTGCCCACAACAGTCGGAGGTCAGAGGCTGAGAATACTGTGGCAAGTAACTCAAGTCCTGAATCCCAAAGCCTGAGCACTCGCGGCACAAGGAGTGTGATGGAATACTCCCTACTTACCTACTTGCAGCTCCAACCACACTGAAGAAGCTCAATACCATCCAGGACAAAGCAGCCTGCTTGATTGACACCGCATCCACTGTCTCCATGATAAATGCCCAGTAGCAGCATTTGTGTCACATCTACAAGATGCACTGCAGAAATTCATCACAGCTCCTTAGACAACACTTTCCAAACCCATGGACACTGCCATCTTGAAGGACAAAGGCAGCACCATATCCCCTCCCACTCACCATCCTGGCTTGGAATTCAGTATTCAATGGATACTGAAACCCCAGTATCTATGGGACTGTTCAGGTAGGGAGGGCTCACGGACCCGCGCTAATCTTGTGATATTGGAGTGTGATTGAATTTAGTATTCTCCTCCCTCAGAATGACTGTCATTCTTCTCTTATTCCAATGTCTCCAGTACAAAGAGGACATACCGTGTGTACATTGTCATTCCACTGTTACCTGGCTTCCAGGGGGATGTATCAACCGGAGGTGGGAATTCCATTCAGACGATCCTACACTTCACATTCAGGTAACCCACGTCCACCGGAATTGGAGTGATATCAATCCAAAATTGGAAAAGTTTTAATCCAGAATCAGAGAGGCTTTGATTCAAATGGGAAAGATATATCAATCTGAAATTAGAATAGTATCAATCCGGAATCAGAGCGGTAGCAATAATCCTCCTCACTTCAGTCCCTGTTGACTAACCATAGGCAGTTACTGTATCTGTTAGACAGGTACCCCTTACGGATCAAGGCAGGGTTCAGAGATATTTATTAGTTGAGGCATTGAATACAGTAGGGAGGTTATGATGGAGCAGTATATATAGTTGGGTACGCCACAGCCGTGTGCAGTTCTGGGATCCACGTTATTGGAGGGATGTGAGGGCACTGGAGAAGGTGCAGAGGAGACGTTGCCTTTGCTGGAGAGTTTGTTATGAAAAGAGATTGGATAGACTGAGGTTGTTTTCCTTTGAGCAGTGGAGATTGAGAAGGGACATAATTGAGATGTATCAAATTGAGATGCATAGATAGGAAGAAATGTATCCCATTGGTTGAGGGTGGTGGGGGGGGAGAGTCAATGACCAGGGGCTTAGATTTAAGTTAAATGGTAAGAAGTTTAGAGGACATCTAAGGAAAACTTTTTTACCTAGAGGATGATGGGAATCTGGAACTCCTTGCCTGTAAGGGTGGTAGAGGCAGAAACCCTCCTAACATTTCCAAGTATTTAGAAGTGCACTTGCACTCAATGCATACAAAGCTATGGGCTAAGTTCTGGAAAATTGGTTTAAAATAACAAGATGGTTGATGATCAATATGGATAAGCTGGGTTGAGGGGCCCTCTAATCCCCATAATGTGGAAACAGCCCATTGAGTCCAGGCCAACCCTCTGAACAGGATCCTACCTAGACGTCTTTCCCTCTTTCCCTCCCTCCCTCCCTCCCTTATCCCCGTAACCCTGCATTTCCCATGGCTAACCCACCTAATCTACACATCACTGGACACTGTGGGCAATTTATCATGGCCAATCCACCAAACCTGCACATCTTTGGACTGTGGGAGGAATCCAGAACACCCAAAGGAACCCCACGCAGACACAGGGAGAATGTGCAAACTCCATACCGACAGTCACTGAGGGTGGAACTGAACGCGGGACCCCGGTGCTGTGAGACAGCAGTGCTAACCACTGAGCCACCGGGTCTCTTTCTGTGTTGTAGCTCTCAATGACTCTATTAATGGCACTTATGATAATACAAATTCCAAGAGAGTGCTGTTGTCCCTGTGCTGTAGCTGATATATTGCCACTCCTGAAATCTATCCAAATAGAAGATAGGAACAGGAAGAGGCCATTCAGTCCCTCAAGCGTGTTCTGCCATTCTGTATGTTTGCTGCATGAGAATCTTTTTTTTCAATGTAGCGAATGGTTTGGAAACATAACTCTGTTATGCACTATCTGTGTATGGTGGATACAGATTATGACCGTATAAACAACAAAAGCAGCAGGAGGCCATTCAGCTCCTTGAGCTTGTTCCAGCATTAAATAAGGTCATCACTGATCCTACTGTAACCTCTAATCCACCTTCCCTCCCACCCTGGATAACCTTTCACCCCCTTGTGTAACAAGAGTCTATCTAGCTCAGCCTTCAAAATGTTCAAAGATTGCTTCCATTGCCTTTTCAAGAAGAGAGTTCAAAAGACACAAGACCCTCAAAAAATTCTCATCTCTGTCTTAAATGGACGTTACCTAGATCATACCTACCTTGTCGGGACCCCTCAGGATCTAACGTGTTTTAAACAAGTCACCTCATACTCTTCTAAATTCCAGAGCATACAAGCCTAGCCTGTCCAACCCTTCCTCATGAGAAAACCCATCTTTTTCAGGGATTTGTCTGGTAAACCTTCTCTGAACTGTTTCCAATGCATTTACAGCTTCCCTTAAATAAGGGACTGACACAATATTCCATATGTGATCTCACCAGAGTGCAGAATTTAATAACAATCTTCAAAAAGGAGTCAGATAAAATACTTGGAGAGAATAGAAATGTAGGGAAATGAGTGGCAGGCTGCTGTTCAGAACAATCTGGAGCAGGTTCAAATGACTGGCTTGCTTCTGTGCTATATCATGCTATGAATTAATTCATGTGAATTGTATCACTAAGTAATCTTATCCCATGACAATCTATTTACTCTCAATTGTGAAATTTTCAATTGATTCTCTAACCTCAATGGTTTCGTTCTGTGACTGTGTAAAAAGGGACATTATAATCCCCATCAATATCCCCAATGTTTCTTTATTCTTTGTGTATCTATGTCCCATGGATTAGAAAATGGTCTGAACCTTAAACGAGTGCCTTTAGAATCTCTTCAGACTGAGAAAAGCCTGCATATTTCCACTCCCACTGAAAATTGCAATCTCCGTTTTACTCCCATTCCCTTCCAGAGATGTACAAACTTTCTTTCTCAAAATTTCTCTCCTCCAGGTCCATATGCAGAGGTGAATATTCCATTGTCGAACGTTTAAAAAAACATAGTAAGTATTCTTTGACTCTGTTCTTGGTTACAAATGCTATGTTTATCCCACCATTTGTTCCTGTTCCTGTTACTGTTATATGCAAAACTGCAATGGTTGTGATTGATCTGATGGAGGAAGGATGTAGATGGTTGTGTATTGACTCACTCTAAAGCCATTTGGTGAAGTAGGCAACTAGATGCTATGTTGAACTAAAACTTGAATTTACTGACAAAATTCAGAATTCTAAATGGCTAAATAAAAACCAAAAGAACTGCGGAACCTGTAAGTCAGGAACAAAAACGGGAGTTGCTGGAAAAGCTCAGCAGTCCTGGCAGCATCTGTGAAGAAAAAATCGAAACGTTAACTGTGACTTTTTCTTCACAGATGCTGCCAGACCTGCTGAGCTTTTCCAGCAATTTCTGTTTTAATTCCAAATAGCTGCTGCCTACTTGTGTGGCATGTGTCCTGACAGTCTCTCTCCTTCTTTTGTGCTCTAGGTACTTGATTAAACAATGCCCTTCACATGCCTTTCTTTGCAACATCTTTAATATATGATTAAGAATGGTATCATAACCTGATGGGAAGGATAGAGGGAGGCTGTAGTAGGTTTGGTCAGTTTGCAATCATTTTCTTGCACCTAAGAAGACCCTGTAGATGTTCAGTTTGCTTGAGACCCAATGGCCGTTTGATTAGAGAAGACATTTTTCTGCTTGCCTGAAGATGGGAGATATTGCAAAACTGGCCAATTTGGGCAGAATACTAGAAAGGCTAAAACAGGAAACACTCTCTTGGGTCTTCCACAGAGAGACGTACAGCACAGAAACAAGCCATTTGACCCATCTACTCTGTGCTGATGTTTATGCTCTCCACAAAGGAGTCTCCCATGTAGAACAACAAATTGCCCTAATTATGGATTCATGGAGTAGTTTTAGGATTGTTTCTTAGGGCAGTACGTTCTAGAGCCAACCAAAGAACAGGCTATACCAGACCTGGTAGTGCACTATGAGACAGGATTATTTCATGATCTTGTATCAATGGAGCTGCTAGTTAGCAGTGCTCATATGATTGAATTTGATTCAGAAAGGAACGGAGACAGAAAGCAGGAAATTGCTGACCAGTTAACTTGAGATTAGTCATAGGGAATTTGTTGGAAGCTATTATGAAAGGCATTCTGGCAAAGTACTTCATAAAGTTCAGGGTAATCAGGCCGTCAGTATGATTTTGTGAAAGGGAAATCGTGTTTGATCAATCAATTGGAGTTATATAGCAGATATATAAAGGGCAAATAGTGGATATATTGTAGTTAGATGTCTTGAAGGAATTTGATAAGATGCCACATCAAAGGTTATTGCAAAAGAAAGTTCATGTGTCTCGTGAATAACACACTGACATGGATAGATCATTCCCTAACTAACAGCAAACAGTGATCAGGCATAATTGGATCACTTTCTGGTTGGCAATATGTAACAAGTATTGTGTCATATTGATCAGTGCTAGGGCCCCAACTGTTTACAGTTTTATATAAATGACTTGGGTGGAAGAATGAAAGGGACTGTTTGCTAATTTTGCTGATGATTGGTGGAAAGTGTCACAAGAAGGCTACAAAAAGACATGGGAAGGTTAATTGAGTGGGTAAAGGTCTGGCAGAGAGAGTATTAGTTGAGAAAATGTGAAATTGTCCATTTTGGCAGGAGGAATAAAAAGAAGGATATTATCTAAATGATGAGCAATTGCAGACCTCGAAGATAGAGGGAGATCTGAGTGTTCAAAAAATAAGCTGAGAGTGACCATCAATTGACAATTTCAAAACCAAGATGGATAGACTTCTGCTAGGTCAGAATATTAAGGGGGTGTTGGAGCCATGGTAGATTGGAGTTAAGCTGCAGATTTTCCATGATTTGATTGAATGATAGAAGAAGCATGAAGAGCTAAATGGCCTCCTGCTGCTCCTATGGGCAAACCAAGTACCTATTATCCAACAATCCTTAAATTTCTTTCTGTTGATGTTCCAGGGAACTGATTGGAGCAAAAAGAGCTAAAGGTGTTCTGCCCCACTATCCTGGCCAATCGACTTATCCTCAACCAACACGACTAAAAAGAATGAATTATAGTATTTCCTGTTCTTGAGAGCTTGCTGTGCACTGAAGGTGGGAAAGCAGGTTCAATGGGCCATAGCTCTTGAAATGTCCTGAGTTAGCAGAACCTGATATTATCTCCTTCTTCTTTTCCAGTGGGGGATGAGTGGGTGAACTACATCTCATTTAGTGGTCTGCGGACTCACGGGGAACTCAACAACAGCCCAGTTTCGGAGCTGATTTACATCCACAGTAAGATGCTGATTGCTGATGATCGGCAAGTCATCATAGGTAAGAGGCTGGAATGGGTGGCATGCGCTTCTCCCTCTAACAGCAGAAAACACTCCAACCAACAGGAAAAGGAATGCTTGGCTCCCTGTGTGTTTGGTTGACCTCTGTATCCAAACAGGGTTGCATACCTGTTTAAGAAGGAACCATACCGCTGACCCTTCATATTCTGCATTCTTCAGGACCAGTGTATGAGTGCCAAATTTTCAAAGACCACAACAATTCATATGATAGGCGACATGGAGCTGATTGGTTGACACTTTGACTCTGATTAGAACGTAGAACAGAATAGCACAGGAACTGTTCCTTCAGTCCACAATGTTGTGTCAAGCAGGATGCCAAATTAGACTAATCCCTTGGTCTGCCCTTGGTCCATATCCTGCCATTCCTTGCATATTCATGTGGTTATCTATAAGCCCCTTAAATGCCCCTATCATATCTGTCTCCACCACCACCCCTGGCAGCATGTTAGTCACCTACCACTCTCTGGGGGGGAGAAAAAAAGCCTTGCTCTTGACATCTGCTTTGAACTTTACCCCTCTTACCTTAAATGCACCTCCATAAGTATTAGACATTTCAACTCGGGGAGCGCGGTGGGGAAGGTTCTGACTGTCAATCCCATCTGTGTATCTCATAATTTTATAGACTTCTTTCAAATGTCCCCTCCGCCTCTGCCACTCCAAAGAAAACAATCTGACTTTTTTCTAGCCTCTCCTTCTAACTCATACCCTCTAATCCAGGCAACATCCTGGTAAATCTCTTCTGCACCCTCTCCAAAGACTTAGCATCCTTCCTGTAATGTAGTGACCAGGACTGAACCCAATATTCTAACTTTAATATTTGATCTCCCAAAGTGCAGCACATCACACTTGCCCATATTAAACTTTAATCTGCCATTTTTCTGCCCATATCTGCAACCAATCCATATCCCGCTGTATCATTTGACGACCTTCTACCTATGAATAACTCCACTGATCTTTGTAATTTATATATATCATTATACATTTTTTTTCATCCAAGTTTTGTATATAAATATCACAAACAGCAGAGGTCTCGCTACAGATCACTGCGGAACATCACTATTCACAGACCTCCAGCCTCGGAGATACCCTTGCATCACCACCCCCTGCCTTCTATGGGCAAACCAATTCTGAATTCAGACGGCCAAGTCACTTTGGATCCCATGCATCTTATTCTTCTGGATAAGCCTACCGTGAGGGACCTTGTTGAAAGCCTTACTATAATCCATGTAGTCACCTTTCACTGCTGTACCCTCATTGAATTTTCCAAGGAGGTGAAGAAGGTGATCAATCAAGTTAGTAAGACATGACCTGCCTTGCACAAAGCCATGCTGACTGTCCCCAATTAGGCCATGCTTTACCAAATGCATGTAAATCCTATCCCTAAGAATTCTCTCCAATAGCTTCCCAACCACTGATGAGAGACCCACCTGGATGATTCCATTTCCCTTCTTGAACAGAGGAACAACATTAGCTACTTGCCAGTCTCTGGGACCTCAGTGAGGAAACAAAGATCTTGGTCAAGGCCTCAGCAATCTCATCTCTTGTCTGTCTCACTAACCTGGGGTAGATACCATCGGGCCCTGCGGTCTTATCCACGTTAATGCTCTTCAAGAAATCCAACTCCATTTATTGCTTGATTTCAAAATGCCCTAGCATGTTAGCATGCTCCACCACTAACCTCACTATCCTCCATGGCATCCTCCTGGGTGAATACTGATACAAAGTACTCATCACTCATATGCTGTGCCTCCAAGCACAAGTTCCCTCCTTTATCCTTGAGTGGTCCTACCCTCTCCCTAGTTATCCTCCTTGTTTTTAATATATGTATAGGATGCCTTGAGATTCTCTTTAACTGTACTTACCAAGGTCATTTCACGACCCATCCTTTCTCTCCTAATCGCCTGCTTGAGTTCTCTCCTGCTTTATATTCCTCACGGGCCTTGTCCGATTTTAGCTTCCTAAAACTTATGTATGCTTTTTTTCCTTTTTTGACTAAATTCACAACCTCCCTCATTATCCAAGGGTCCCTTACCTTGCCATTTTTGACTTTCTCCTTTCTGGAACATGCTGGTCCTGAACTCTGGTCTTTAAACAACTCCTATGTGTCAAAGGTGGACTTGCCTGATAACAGCTCCTCCCATTCAATCCTCCCTAGCTCCTGCCTAATAATGATGTAATTTGGTCTCTCCTAATTTAGTACCTTCCCACAAGGCCCTGACTTGTCCTTATTCATAGCTTCTTTAAAACGTAAGGAGTTGTGATCACTGTTTCCAAAATGCTCTCTTGCTGAAAGGTTCGTCACCTGGCCAGACTCATTAGCCAGTGCAAGGTCTGGTATGGCCCCTCCTCTAGTTGGACTATCCACATACTGTTTCAAGAAACCCTCTTGGATACACCTAACAAATTCTGCCCTGTCTACGCCTCTTGCTTTAAGGAAATTCCAGGCAATTTGGGGAAATTAAAGTCACCCACAAATGATATCCTGTTGTTATTGCATATTTCCACAATCTGCCTACACATTTGTTCCTCAATGTTTTGGTGGCTGTTGGGGAGTCTACAGTGTAATCCCATCAGAGTAAATGCACCTGCTTAATTTTGAACTCTATCCATATTACCTCAGTGGATGAGCCCTCCATTATGTCCTCTGAGTACAGATGTGATTTTCTCCCTGATTAGTAATGGAACTCCTCCATCTCTTTTACCTCCCCCTCTGTCTCATCTGAAATAATGAAACCCTGGAATATTGAGCAGCCAGTCCTGTTCCTTTCTCAACCAAGTCTCAGTAATGGCCACAATATCATCATCCCACGTATTGATCCAGGCTCTAAGCATATCTGCCTTACCCATACACTTCAGCCCGTCAGTCCTGTTATGTTCGTTTACCTGTCTCTGGCTATCCTTTCTTTCTGACTTACTGTCTTAACATCTACTTTGCCCTAAATCCATGCACTTGCTGACCTGCTGCTCCCAGCCCCCTGCCACTCTAATTTATACCCTCCCAAGTAGCACTAGCAAATCTCCCTGTGACGATATTTCTTCCCCTCCAATTTGGGTGCAACCTGTCCCTTTTGTACAGGTCACCCGTGCCCCAATGATCCGAGAACCCTGAAACCCTGTACCAGCTGCTTAGTCATACATTCATGATTGGATAAGGAATTGACTTGGTGAGTGAAATGGGAAACTATAGGCTTCCCAGGTTCTTGCAGAATTCAAAAAAAGGCTCAAGGTCTAAACACATCTTTTTTGTGCAGAATTGGTAGGAAGCATAAAAGAAACGACTCAACTTGGTTGTTTGTGTAGCTGTGTGCGCACTCGAGATTGTTCAGAATCTTAGGGAGCCCATAGTTTCCCAGGGTTGTGACATCTTTGGACTTTCTTCCTGAGCGGGGATGTGTTATTGCAGTTGTACAGGGCCTTGGTGAGACCACACCTGGAATATTGTGTGCAGTTTTGACTCCTTTTCTGAGGAAGAATGCTCTTGCTCTCGTGTGTGTGCAGCAAAGGTTTACCATGCTGATTCTGGGGAGGGCGGGACTGATGTATGAGGAGAGATTGACTAGGTTGGGATTGTTTTTGCTGTAGCTCAGATGAATGATGGTGGGATCTCAAAGAGACTTAAAATTCTAACAGGACTGGAGAGGGTAGATGCAGGGAGGATGTTCCCAATGGTGGGTGGGGTCACAGTACGAGGATTTGGGGTAGACTATTTAGAACTGAGATGAGGAAGCATTGCTTCACTCAGAGTGGTGAGCCTGTGAAATTCATTACCACAGGAAGTAGTTTTTTTCCTTTTCATTTGTCGGATGTGGGTGTCACTGGCTGGCCAGCATTTCTTGCCCATCCCTAGATGCCCTTTGAGAAGGTGGTGGTGAGCTGCCTTCTTGAACCGCTGCAGTCCTCCTGCTGTGGGTTGACCCACAATGCAATTAGGGAGGGAATTCCAGGATTTTAACCCAGCGACAGTGAAGGAACGGCAATATATTTCCAAGTCAGGATGGTGAGTGACTTGGAGGGGAGCTTGGAGGTGGTGGTGTTCCCATATATCTGCTGCCCTTGTCCTTCGAGATGGAAGTAGTCGTGGGTTTGAAAGGTGCTGTCTGAGGATCTTTGGTGAATTTCTGCAGTGCATCTTGTAGATAGTACACACTGCTGCTACTGAGCGTCGGTGGTGGAGGGAGTGAATGCTTGTGGATGTAGGGCCAATCAAGCGGGCTGCTTTGTCCTGGATGGTGTCAAGCTTCTTGAGTGTTGTTGGGACTTCACTCATCCAGGCAAGTGGGGAGTATTCCATCACACTCCTGACTTGTGCCTTGTAAATGGTAGGCAGGCTTTGGAGAAGTCAGGAGATGAGTTACTCACCACAGTATTCCCAGCTTCTGGCCTGCTCTTGTAGCCACTCTGTTAATGTAGTGAGTCCAGTTGAGTTTCTGGTCAATGGTAACCCCCAGGATGTTGATAGTGGGGGATTCAGTGATGGTAACACCACTGAATGTCAAGGGATGGTGGTTATATTGTCTGTTATTGGGATGGTCATAGCATCTGTGTGGCACGAATGTCACTTGCCACTTGTCAGCCCAAGCCTGGATATTGTCCAGATCTTGTTGCATTTGCACATGGACTGCTTCAGTGCCGGAGGAGTCACAAATGGTGCTGAACGTTGTGCAATCATCGGTGAACATGCCCACTCTGACCTTATGATGGAGGGAAGGTCATTGATGAAGCAGCTGAAGATGGTTGGGCCTAGGACATTACCCTGAGGAACTCCTACAGAGATGTCCTGGAGCTGAGATGATTGACCTCCCACAACCACGACCATCTTCCTATGTGTCAGGTATGACTCCAACCACCAGAGCATTTGCCCCCTGATACCCATTGACTCCAGTTTTGCTGGGGCTCCTTGATGCCACGCTTGGTCGAATGCAGCCTTGATATCAAGAGCTGTCGCTCTCCCCTCACCTCTGAAATTCAGCTGTTTTGTCCATGTTTGAACCAAGGCTGTAATGAGGTCAGGAACAGAGTGGCCCTGGCGGAACCCAAAGTGGGCATCACTGAGCAGGTTATTGCTGAGTAGGTGCTGCTTGATAGCACTGTTGATGACACCTACCATCACTTTACTGATGATCGAGAGGAGACTGATGGGATGGTAATTGGCCAGGTTGTATTGTCCTGCTTTTTGTGTACAGGACATACTTGGGCAATTTTCCACATTGTCGGGTAGGTACCAGTGTTGTAACCGTGCTGGAACAGCTTGGCTAAGGGAGCAGCAAGTTCTGGAGCGCGAGTTTTCAGTGCTATTGCCGGAATGTTGTTGGGGCCGGTGGCCTTTGCAGTATCCAGTGTCTCCAATTGTTTCTTGATATCATGTGGAGTGAATCGAATTGACTGAAGACTGGTATCTGCAATGCTGGGGACCACTGGAGGAGGCCGAGGTGGATCGTCCACTCGGCACTTCTGGCTGAAGATTGTTGCGAATGCTTCAGCCTTATCTTTTGCACTGATGTGCTTGGCTCTTCCATCATGGAGGATGGCGATATTTGTGGAACCTCCTCCTCCAGTGCGTTGTTTCATCATCCACCACCATTCACGACTGGCTGTAGCAGGACTGCAGAGCTCAGATCTGATCCGTTAGTTGTGGGATCGCTTAGCTCTGTTTATCACTTGCTGCTTTCGCTGTTTGGCGTACTAGTAGTCATGTTTGGTGGCTTCACCAGGTTGATACCTCATCTTCAGGTATGCCTGATTCTTCTGGCATGCCCTCCTGCACTCTTCATTGATCCAGGGTTGATCCCCTGGCTTGATGGTAATGGTTGAGTGGGGGGTATACCAGGCCATGAGGTTACAGATTGTGTTGGAGTACAATTCTGCTGCTGTTGATGGCCCACAGTGCCTCGTGGATGCCCAGTCTTGAGTTGCTAGGTCTGTGTGAAGTCTGTCCCATTTAGCATAGTGATAGTGCCACACAACAGATGGAGGTTGTTCTCAAGGAGGACTTTGCATGGTTGACAGGGCCGTTTCTGCCGTTGTCTTTTCCGGTGCCTAGGTCAATGCCAGGTGATCTGTCCAGTTTAATTTCTTTGAGTCTTTGTAGCAATTGGCACAACTGAGTGGCTTGCTAGGCCATTTAAGAGGGCAGTTGAGAGTAATCCACATTGCTGTCGGTTTGGAGTCATATGTAGGCCAGACCAGGTGAGGGTGGCAGATTTCCTCCCCTGAAGGACATTAGTGAACCAGATGGGTTTTTCCAACAATTGGCAATGATTTCATGGTGACAGTAGATTCTTAATTCCAGACTTTTTTTTTGAGTTCTAATTCCACCATCTGCCGTGATGGGATTCGAACCCGGGTCCCCAGAACATCAGCTGGGTTTCTGGATTAATAGTCTAGCGATAATACCACTAGCCTACCCTTGATGCCAAAACATTGAATGTATCCAAAAGGCAATTCGATATAGCACTTGGGGCAAATGAGATCAAAGGTTATGGCGAGAAAGCAGGATTAGGCTCAAGATTAACAGGGTAGATAGTGAGAATCATTTTCCCATGGCAGACATGTCTAAGACCAGAGGGCAAAAGTTTAAGGAGAGGAGCAAATAGAGGGGATCTGAGAAATCACTTTTTCACCCAGTGGGTGGTAGAAATATGGAGCGTGCTAACTGAGAGGGTAGTGGAAACAGGTAGTCTCATGACATTTAAGAAGCAACTAAATGAGCACTTAAAATGCCAGGAGACAGTAGGCTATAGACCATGTGCAGATAAATGGGATTAGTGTAGTTTGGTGTTTGTTGGTTGGCATAGACATGGTGGATCAAAGGGTCTTTTTCTATGCTGTATAACGCAATGCCTCCCTATGACTCTATTGGCCACGGTGGGACCTCACCTGGAGCATTGTGTACAGTTTTGATCTCCTTATCTAAGGAAGAATGTTCTGGTTCTGTAGGGAATGCAACAAAGGTTTATCAGAATGATTCCTGGGATGCAGGACTGATGTATGAGGAGACACTGGATCATTTAGGACTATATTCACTGAAGTTTAGAAGAATGAGGGGAGATCTCCAGAAAAAAATTGTAAAACTCTAACAGTATTAGACAGGGTAGACAAAGGAAGGATGTTCCAGATGACCAAGGAATCCAGAACCAAAGTTTAAGGATAAAGTCTTGACCATTCAGGACTGAGATGAGAAACGTTTTCAGTCAGAGGGTGGTGAGCTTGTGGAATTCTCTGCCACAGAAAGTGGTTGAGACCAAAATATTAAATGTTTTCAAGAAGGAGTTCGATATAGTTCATGGGGCTAAAGGGATTAAACGATATAGAACATAGAACTGTACTCACAGGAACAGGACCTTTGGCCCATGAAGTCGTGCCTAACATGGTGCCAAATTAAACTAATCCCATCTGCCTGCCTTGGTCGTATCCCTCCATTCTTTGCATATTCATGTGCTTATCTAAAAAAATCTCTTAAATGCCCCTATTGTATTTGCCTCCACCACCACCCCTGGCAGTGCGTTCCAGACTCCTACCACACTCTATGTTTTAAAAAAAACTTGGCCCTCACATCTCTTTTGAACTTTCCCCTCAACCTTAAATGCATGCCCCCTTGTATTAGACATTTCAACTCTGGGGAAAAGATTCTGACCGTCAACCCTCCCTAAGCATCTCATAATTTTGTAAACTTCTATCAAGTGTCTCCTCGGCCTCCCCCTCTCCAGATAATATAACCCAAGTGTTTTTAACCGCTCCTTATAGCTGACACTCTCCAATCCAGGTAGCATCCTGGCAAACGTCTTCTGCATCCTCTCCAAGCCTCCACATCCTTCCTGTAATGTGGTGACCAGGATTAAACACAATCCTGTGAAGTGTGGCTTAACCAAAGTCTTATAAAACTGCAACATGACATCCTGACTCTTGTACTCAATTCTCTGACCAATAAGGCAAGCATGCCATAAGCCGGCTTTACCATCCTATCTACTTGCATGGCCACTTTTGGGGAACTATGGACTTGAACCACAAGATCCCTCTGTACATCAATGCTGTTCAAGCTCCTGCCATTAACTGTATACTTCCCTTAACATTTGATCACCCAAAGTGCAGCACCTCACACTTGCTCAGGTTAAACTCTATCTGCCACATCGGGGGGAAAGTGGAAATAGGATACTGAGTTAGATGTATCAGCCGTGATTATATTGAATGGAGGAGCAGGCTTGAAGTGCCATATGTTCTCTGTATTCTATATTTCTGTGTAAATGTTAAGATCCATGTTGGGCTCAACAGGAGAATGTCCTCCTCATCATCCTTTTTAGAGGGAGACATTCTCCTGTCCGTTTTTCTAAATTGGCCCACTAAAGGGATGGAGGTGAGGGAACAGTGGGATTTGATGATGGTGTGTTTATATGCAGTGCTGCGATGGGACAGGTTTGGCAACCAACTGATCTTTGCCTTGTCAGAGATCAGCATTGATGTCCTGCCATCTCTCGCCAGGTTCAGCAAACATCAATGACCGCAGTATGTTGGGGAAACGGGACAGTGAGATGGCTGTTCTTGTGGAAGACACTGAGATGGAGGCATCTGTAATGGATGGTGAAGAATACCAAGCTGGAAAGTTTGCCCGTCGCCTCCGACTCCAATGTTTTAAGTGAGTTTGTTGATCCATCTTCACTTTTCCTGTAACTCTTTGACTGGATGTTGGCCTCCAGTTGGTTAGCATTTATTGCCTGTCCCTAGTTGCCCTTGAGATGGTGTCAGTGAGCAGTATTTTTGAACCATTGCAGCTCATGTGCCATTAGGGATGGAATTCCAAGGTTTTGACCGAGCAACAGTGAAGAAACAGCGATATATTTCCGAGTCAGGATGGTGTGTGGTTTGGAGGGGAACTTGCAAATGGTGTTGTCTCCATCTGTCTGTTGCCCTTGTCCTTCTGGATGAAGTGGTCAGGGATTTGGAAGGTGCTGTCAAAGCAGCCTGGGTGAATTTCTGAAGTGTGTCTTGTAGATGGTGTACACTGTTGCTGCTGAGTGTTGATGGTGGAGGGAGTGAATATTTGTGGATGTGGTGCCAATGAAGTGGGTTGCTTTGTCCCGGATAGTGTTGAGCTCCTTGAATGTTATTGGAGCTACACCCCATCAGCCAACTGGAGAGTATTCTGTCACACTCCTGACTTGTGCCTTGTAGATGGTGGTCAGGCTTTGGCAGTCAGGAAATGAGTTACTCACTATTCTCTAATATTCACTAGGTCAAAATCCTTGAAGTTGCAAGAAGTCAAAATAGGGTGGGTAGAAATCTGTGTTGGTTGGAATCACACCTGGCACAGAGGAAGATGGTTTGGTTGTTGGAGGTCAGTCATCACAGCTCCAGATATGTTTTTTTTTTTTTAAAATTTAATCTATTTTTCTAATCAACCAGTTCAGAGATGGTATTACATACCTCTTGAGCGTGAGAGATTGAACCTGGGCTTGCCGGTCCTAGGGGTAGGGACACTACCACTGCACCACGAGGACCTTATGAGCTTAGGTTGGTGTCCTAGGCCCAAACATCTTCAGCTGCTTCCTTAATGAGAACCTCTTCATTATACCAAAGGTGGTGTCGCAGGGCATTTACCAATCCAAAAGCAGTTTCCAAAAACCAGGAGTAACAATAGCTAGTCCTTAGGATGTCATTTAACACTGTTTTGTTGCATAGATATAAAGATGAGGAAGATAGTTCTAAAATCTGTGGAAATACAGGCCAGGAACCCATTATTGGGTCAGGAAGCAGTAGATGGAGGGGACTTTTGCAGATGTCTGTCTGTGGTTAGTATAGAACATAGAACATAGAACAGAACAGCGCAGTGCAGGCTCTTTGACCCACGATGTTGTGCCGACCTATTATCCTACTAAGATCAATCTACCCTGCATACCCTACATTTTACTATCCTCCATGTGGCTATCCAAGAGTCACTTAGAAGTCTCTAAAGTATCTGACTCCACTAGCACTGCCGGCAGTACATTCCACACACCCACCACTCTCTGCGTGAAGAACCTGTGTGAAGTATGTTCAGCTTCTTGGTGCTTTTAGATTCAATGCTTCTCTCTCCTCCTGCAGAGTACACCTTGGCCTGACCGATGACCAGATGGCTGAGGTTGAAGATCCTGTAAGTGACCGATGTTTCCAGGAGATCTGGAATGCCACAGCTACCACCAATGCAGCCATTTATGATCAGGTGGGCCCCATTGTAGGACCCCATTCTAAAATTGCACCCAGACCTGCCATCAGTGTGTGGGTGTGTGATTGTCTCTGTCTCTGTGTGGGTGTTTGTGTCTCTTCGTGGCCATGTGGGTGTGCGTGTATGTGGGTAGGTGGGGGTATTGTGTGTGTCGGTGTGAGGCTGAGAATGTGTATGTTTGTGTATTTCAGTGTGTGGGCACGTATGGGTTTCTCGTGTCAGGTGTGTCTTGGTGTGGGGGTGTGAGGATGTCTCAGTGTGGGTTGTACATATCTGGATTTCCAGAATGCATTTGACAAGGTACCACATAAAAGTTTGCTGCATGAGGTAAAGGTGCATGGCATTATGGGTAATGTATTAGCATGAATACAAGATTGGTTAACTAACAGAAAGCAAAGATTGGGAATAAATTGGTGTTTTTCTGGTTGGCAATCAGTGACTGGTGTGCCTCGGATCAGTGTTGGGACCACAATTGATTACAATTTACATCGATGATTCAGAGTTGGGGACCAAGTGTAGTTATGTCAAAGTTTGCAGATGACACTGAGATGAGTGGTGGAGCAAAATGTGCACGGGACATTGAAAGTCTGCGGAGGGATATAGGTAGGTTAAGTGAGTGGGCAAGGGTCTGGTAGATGGAGTACAATGTGGGTAAATGTGAGTCATCCATTTTGGTAGGAATAACAGCAAAATGAACAATTATTTAAATGGTGAAAAATTGCAGCATGCTGCTGTGCAGAGGGATCTGGGTGACCTTGTGCATGCATCACATTGTGTTGCAGTTGCAGCAGGTAATTAAGAAGGTAAATGGAATATTGTCCTTCATTGCTAGAGGAATGGAGTTTAAACACAGGGAGACTATGCTGCAGCTGTATATATGGTGCTGGTGAGGCTACACCTGGAGTACTGTGTACAGTTTTGGTCTCCTTACTTGAGAAAAGATGTACTGGCACTAGAGGGGGTGCAGAGGAGGGTCATTAGGTTGATTTCAGAGTTGAGAGGAGCTTGGCTTATGAGCAGAGATTGAGTAGACTGGGACTTTACTCATTGGAATTTAGAAGAATGAGGGGAGGGTGGTGAATCTTACAGGAACCTATAAAATTATGAAGGGAATAGATAAGATAGAAGCAGGGAGGTTGTTTTCACTGGTCGGTGAAACTAGAATTAGGGGGCATCGCCCCAAAATAAGGGGGAGCCGAGTTAGAACATAGAACATTACAGCGCAGTACAGGCCCTTCGGCCCTCGATGTTGCGCCGACCTGTGAAACCAATCTGAAGCCCATCTAACCTAAACTATTCCATTATCATCCATATGTTTATCCAATGACCATTTAAATGCCCTTAAAGTGGGCGAGTCTACTATTTTTGCAGGCAGGGCATTCCACGCCCTTACAACTCTGAGTAAAGAGAGGACTGAGATTTAGGACTGAGTTAAGGAGGAACTTGTTCACCCAAAGGTGATTTACTTCTGGAATTCTGTGGACATCCCTGTCCAATGAAGCAGTTGAATGTTTTCGAAGCAAAGATAGATTTTTGACCAGTAAAGGTATTAAAGGTTATGTTGAGCACAGGTAAGTAGAGCTGAGTCCATGAAAAGATCAGCCATATTGAATGGTACAGCTGGCTTGAGAAGCCAGATTGTTGACTTTTGCATGTATTTCCTATGTTCGTGTCTCAGGGTGGGGGTGTCAGAGTGTCTTGGTTTGGGATTGTGGTGTGCGTGTGTTCTCATGCTACGTGTTTCTCTTTTGGGGGTGTGGGTTTTTGTGTTTCTTTTTGGTTTGAAATGGGGTGTGTCTCAGTACGTATGGGTGTCTGTGTATCTTGGTGCAGGGTTGGAGGAGTACGTGGGTGTGTCTCGAGGCTGTGACTCTCACTGTAGGGTGTTTTGGTGTTGGAGGTTGTGTATATCAATGCTGGGGGTGTATCAATGCTGGGGGTGTGGATAGGTATGTGTGTCTGTGTGGGAGTTGTAGAGATGCGTGGGTGTGTCTCTCTTTGTAGGTACCTGGATTGGTCTGTGTGTCTTTAGTCTGGGGGTGACTCGGTGCGGTGAATGTGCGTGTGTATATGGTTCTCAATGTATGTGTGTTTGTGTCTGGGGATGTGCATATGTCCTGGTGTGGTTGTATGTTTGTGTCTTAGTGTGGGAAATGGGATGTGAGTATCACTGGCTGGCCAGCATTTATTGCATGTCCCTAGTTATCCTTGAGAAGGTGGTGGTGGTGAACTGTCTCCTTGAACTGCTGCAGGCCATGTGCTGGAGGTTGACCCACAATGGCCTTGGGGGGGAATTCCAGGATTTTGACCCAGCGACAGTGAAGGAATGGCAATATATTTCTCAGTCAAGATGGTATATGGTTTGGAAGGGAGCTTGCAGGTCGTGGTGTTCCTATGTATCTGCTGCCCTTGTCTTCTAGGTGCGAGTGGTTCTGGGTTTTAGGTGCTATCTAAAGATCTTTGGTGAATAGCACTGCTGCTACTGAGTGTCGGTGGTAGAAGAATTGGATGTTTGTGAATGTGGTGTCAATCGGGTGGGCTACTTTGCCCTGAAAGGTGTTGAGCTTCTTGAGTGTTGTTGGGGGGATACTCATCCAGGCAAGTGGGGAGAATTCGAACACATTCCTGACTCGTGCCTCATAGATGGTGGACATGCTTTGTGGAGTTTGCACATTCTCCTTGTGTCTGTGTGGTTTTCTCCGGGTGCACCAGTTTCATCTCACAGTCCAAAGATGTGTGGTCTAGTGGATTAGCCATGGTAAATGCAGGATAACCGGGATAGAGTGGGGCCTGGCCCTCACCCTCTTTCTGCACTGCAGTGATTCTATGATTCCAAGTCTGCACGGGCAGTTTGATACTTCTGTGTGAAATAGGGAGGTGGTAGCTCAATGGTTAACACACTGCCTCAGTGCTAGGGACCCGGGTTCAATTCCAGCCTCGGGCGTCTGTGTGGAATTTGCACGTTCTCTGTGTCCGTGCGGGTTTCCTCCCACAGTCTAAAGATGTGCAGGTTGGGTGGATTAGCCATGCTAAATTGCCCACAGTGTCTAGTGTGGGAAATGCAGGGAGAGTGTGTGGGGTGGGTTTGGTTGGGATGCTCTTCAGAGGGTTGGTTTGGCCTGAATGGGCCGAATGGCCTGCTTCCACACTAGGGATTTTATGATGAGTCAGGAGCTAAGTTACTCACCGCAGTATTCCTAGCCTCTGATATGCTCTTGTAGCTAACGTTTCTGTGGTTAGTCCAGCTGAGTTTCTGGTCAACAGTAACTTTCAGGATGCTGATAGTGAGCGATTCAGTGATGGTAACACCATTGAATGGCAACGGGCATTAGATTAGAGAGTCATTACCTGGCATTTGTATGGTGCAAATGTTACTTGTGTGTACGTCTAGTTGTGTATACGTGTGCGTGCATTTGCATGGAAGGTCAGCCACCATGTGGAAGTGTGTTAGTCTGTTCAGGGAAGATGCTGATATGAAAGAAATTCCAAAACGTCCCCAACTACACTGAAGGAATGGCCATGGTGGGATAGCATGTGGCATAGAAGTGAGGCCTGTTGATGGTAGGTTTTCCGCTGCTCCCTCTTGTGGTGGAGGTCACAGGGTCGGTAAGCATTAGCTAGTCCCATTTGATGAGGTGATCTCCATTGAGAATTGCAGATAGAAACCTAGAAGATAAGAGCAGCTGTATCCATTCAACCATTTGAACCTGCTCTGCCATTATATGATCCTGGCTGATCATCCAACTCAGTCCCCTGTTCCCTTTTCCTCCCCATATCCTTTGATCGCAAAGAACTATATCTAATTCCTTCTTGAAAATATTCAGTGCTTTGGCTTAGATGCTTTGTCAAGCTCACCTTTACTTTGGTGCCTTTTTAATGCACATGAGGTATCTAACCCAGATGAAGTATAGGTGGAGCAGCAGCAGAGGATCTCAAAGACATGGTTGGAAAAATCAATGAAAGCATTTTTAGAGTGATACAGCCCTTGAGGCCAACTCGTCCATGCCAACCAGGTTTCATGAACTGAATTAATCCCATCTGATCTGTTTGGCTGACATCCCTCTAAACCTTTTCTATCAATGTACCTGCCCAAATGTCTTTTAAATGTTGTAAATTGTACCTGCCTCTACCACTTCCTCTGACAGCTTGTCCCATATACACATCACCCTCTGTAGAAAGGGTCCCTTTTAAATCTATCCCCTCTCATCTTAGACCTATGCCCTCTAGTTTTGACTTCTGTATCCTGGGGAAAAGACCATGGCTGTTCACCTTAGCTATGCTCATTATATTCGGTGGGCATTCAGAGAGGTGGAGGGGAAAAGTTTGGGGAGGTCCTTTAATATAAGCGCAAGGGTGGCCAATGACTGTAGCTGGTGAGAGATTTTCACTTGGAGTGTTAGAAGAGAGGCGTTTTGCTGAAACTAAACAAGATACTAGTGAGTCCACAGCTGGAATACTGTGAACAGTTTTGAATCAAATTGAATTGAATTAGTTTTATTGTCATGTACCCAAATGAGCACAGTGAAAAGTTTACAGTCGCTGCATTACACCGTCATCTTAAGGTACCTATGTACAGGTACTTGACATCAAATTCGTAGGAAAATATGTCAGAAAAGTAAATAAATAGAACAGCATTATAGGTCATAGGAATAAATTAGAAAAATAAAACAAAGTAAAAAGTTCATAATTTAAGTCTTTCCAATCCAGTCCACACCAGCAACCGAGCCTCAAGGGAGGCCTCCCTGCCACCTCATCCCGACCCACCGTCGTGGCAGTCGCCCCATTTTAAGCACCATCTCTTCGCCACTGGGCCCGCTTGACTGATTCTGTCAATTCAGGCTGCAGCCTGGCCATGAGTCCCACTTCGGCTGCAAATGTTGCCTTGCTGGTACTGCTGTCTTGAAGAGTGCGCTGCCACTGTCCCCAGTCACTGGAGAAGCTTTGCTGTTGCCGCTGCTGTTAGCCCTGATTGGTGGGAGAACGCACCCACCTGCCGCTGGCCTCCTGTCACCGGGAGAACATCCGTGCCGCCTCCAATTGCCACGAGAATGTCCTCCGATTGCTGGGAGAAACCACTTTAGCCACTCCGTAGGCAGCCCATTCTCACTGCCAACGCTGGCGCTGTAGACCAACCCGCCGCAGAAAAGAATTTACAAAAGGTCCAAAAGAAAAGGAAAATAAAACTAAAGATCAGAAGCAAAAGTAAAACAAAGAAGGAAAGCAGATGGGAGTGGATGGGCAAGAGCCCGCTTACAGCCCTATTACTCTGCTGCCATTTTGCGCTGGGCTCCTTACTTAAAGACTGATATTGAAGGCAGTCTAGAAAAGGTTCACTAGGCTGGTACCAGGTATAGAGGGACTGTTAACAAGGAAAGGTTGAGTAAGGTGAACCTCACTGGAGTTTAGAATAATATTGAAACCTTCTTAGGGGCAAAACTAGAAATTAGAAACTCTGCAGGTCTGGCAGCATCTGTCAGGTCTAATGACTGGATAGACATAGAAAGGTTGTTTGCTCTTGTGGGAGAGCCTGGAACTAGAAGCTTAAACTCAGAATGAGGGATAACACATTTAAGACAGAGATGAGGAGGAATTTTGTCTGAGGGTTGTGAATCTGTTGTATTTACCACAGAGAGCTGTTGAGGTTGGGTCATTAAGTATATTCAAGGCTGAGATAGACAGACAGATTTTTTAATTCGTAAGGGAATCAAAGGCTAAGGCAGGCAAGTGGAGTTGAGGATGATCAGATCAATCATCATCACATTGAATGGTGGAGCAGACTTGATGGACCACATGGCCTACTTCTACTCCTGTATGTTATGGTATTCTGTTGAAGAGAGGTCATCGAGCAGTTTTGTATCACACAGTGAAAGTGCCGATGTTGCAAGTGTTTTCAGTTGACTGTGTACGTTTGCAGGTTCTAGTTGTGATAAAGACCAGCTAATACTTGTTAAATACCTGAACAAGGATTCTTGTGGTGTTGTGGTAGTTCTCTTACTCTGGACCAAGAGACCCAGTCTGTGTGCTGCCTACCTAGAAGTGTCAGAACGGCCAGTGACACACATGTTCCACAAATGAATAGAAAAGAAAAAACAAATTTAAAAATATTTTCTTTTAAATTAAAAATCTGGGAGGGAATTCAGTTTGTAGAAGGTGTCTGCTATAGGAATTAGTCCAAGTGGAAGACTTTCCAGAAGAGTAAAACAATTAACAATAAGTGGGATGAAGAGGCTGTTCGTGTGATCGTGGCTGCAAGAAATAGAACAAAAGCTGTATAAAATTCCTGATTTTTACAGAACTCTAGAAGTTTGGAGAGAATTAGAACGTGGAGGAAGTGAAGGCCCCCATTGCCCTTGAACATTATTTGCAGTTTGAAGCTCCTCTTCAGTTCCAATCAAGGAAGACAATGGTGTCCAAATGTGGCATCCAAATCCATGTTTGCTAACACTTTGTAGAAGACCACTAGAAATAGGAACATGAGTAGGCTATTTGGACCCTTAAACGTAATTTGTCATTCCTCCTGTCCACTTTTCTGCCTTTTTGCCTCAACCCTCGATTCTCCAACTGATCAAGAGTCTACCTATCTCAGCCTTAAATATATGAAAAGCCCTTGGCACCCCTCTATTCTGACACTATACCCTCTGGTCCTAGACGCTACCATGCACAAAACATCCTCAGCTTTTACCCTGTCAAGCCCCTTAAGAATCCTCTATGTTTCAATGAGATTCTGTCTTGGTTTTTTTTGACCTACAGTTATCTGTATATGGCTGTAATGTAACTTTTTTCTTCTTTTCTGTAACTCTGTTGCTAACACATTGCCAGGTACATTGTAACTAATCTTGTACCTGAAGAAGTGTACCTAAGATGGCACTGTAAATATAAACTTTTTTCACTGTACTCATTTGAATGCACGTTACAATAAAGCTAATTCAATTCAATTCATTCTTCACACCTCCAATGATCAGAGTTCCAATCTGTTTCATCTTTGCTGAACTTCCCCTGAATTGCCTCCAATGAACTTCTATCTTTCCTTGAATAAGGGGAGCAAAACTGCTCACTGTACTTTAGACGTGGTCTCACCAGCACCTCGTACTGTTGCATTAAGACTTCCCTAATCTTTTCCTCCAACTCTGTTGAAATCAGGGCAACATTCAGCAGTGTTTGTTAAACAAAGGATCAAGTGGGTGATCATGATGGTTTTTAGAATAGCAATTCTTTTTCGCCCCCATTTCTGAACGTTAGATGATAAGATACAGAATCCGAAGTCGCCAGTGGCCTATTGAATCTGCTTCATCATTCAATGAGATTGTGGCTGATCTAATCATCCTCAACTCCACTTTCCTGGATATCCCCCAAAACCGTTAATTTCCTTACTGCATAAAAATCTATTTCTGTCTTTTATGAAGACATATCCTCAAAGCCCAGAATAACGTAGCAAACTTGTTTTTTTTTCTCCTCCACCTTCCTTACCCCTCAGGTTTTTAAATGTCTCCCCTCAAATTCTGCTCCAAGTATGGTGGAGTTGCGAGAGTTTGTGTCTGCGCCTGGCCTCCTGACTGAGGATCCTGAGAGAGTCCACGAGAAGCTGAGGAGTATCCGTGGCTACCTTGTTCAGTATCCGCTCTATTTCCTGTGTGAGGAGTATCTTCTTCCCCCGCTCAACAGTAAAGAAGGGATGGTTCCATTAGAGGTTTGGACTTGATGAGAGTGGAATAGTGTTAGGCTCTCGCTCTTGAAAATTCAGTTTGGGACCTCTGGACCAATCTTCACTCCCTTGCGAAGCTGAGGTTCATGTTTTTAAGGGCCCATTTTTAGTGGCCAAATGACCGATCACCCATTTGGAGGAGTGGACAATAGATTCAGTTACAGGATGATTGATGGGAATGACTGAATGGAAAGGCTCCCTTTAGAGGAATTGAGAGATCTTTCATCTCGCTTTTGGCAGCTTCCAAAAAAAACCAGGTTTTGGAAAATTGTAAATGCTGATGCGATTGGCTGAGGTTTTGCAAAGTGTCACTGTATCTTGTTGGCAGGAGTCTACAAAACACTGTGAAGTCAATTCAACCCAGAAGACTTTGATCCACAAGGAGATGGATTTTGTCCCCTTGAAGTCATCTCAATTTCTATCTGTCACTGCTTTTTGTAGCCACTTTTATAACCTGCATACATAATTTTTTAAAAACCTTTTCCATTAAATTGCACAGTTGAGGACGAAGATTACATAGCCCCTGGAGTTCAGCAAGCCAGTCAGATTAGTTTCAACAAACTCTCATTTTCCTCCACCTCTTTCAGATATGATGGCACTTTGATGGAATTCAAAATTTGGATCTTTGCAAATACTCACATGATTTCACAAGGCTGATTAGATTATAAGAGTGTTGTTTTCCAACTCCTCTTGAGAGAAAGATATTTCTGAGAAGACATTGCAGTTTATACCATTCACCATGTAAAAGGTCACTGACTGGAAGAGTTCCTCAGTAGTGAGAGGAGGGAAACACATTTGTAATCAATATGGCATAACTTTTGTAGTACATTTTAATTAAAATGCATTAATTCCAGATAGAACATGACACAAGATATTCAAAAAAGCGACTTGTGGGTGTCTGTTTGTTCTCTGTAGGAACAGCGTGCATTTACATAGTATCTTCTTGACCACGGGGATGTCCCAGTACTTTATGGCCAATGATGCATTTTTTGAAGTGGGGTCATTCAGAAAATTCACTGGTCAGTTGGTTTGATTTCTTTCAGTGATGTTGGTAGGGAGATAAATGCTAGCGAGGACAGCAACAGGAACTAACCAGTTCTTCTTCAAACATAGGGCCAACAGATTGTTCATGGTCCAGCAATGTGGACTGTCATCCTAACCCTAATGCCATCAAGACCATGGTTTTAACATCACGCCTGGCAGTGTAGTATGTCTCTCTGTCCTGAGGGTGTCAGCCAAGTTTTTTCTTGTGCTCCAGTTTCTGGAGTAGGGCTTGAACCCAAAACCACCAACCAGACTCTTCCTCCCTCAAATTCAGTTTGAGATCTCTAGACAAGTGAATCATTCCCTTCTGAATCTGAGCTTCATGTTTGTAAGGGCTCTTGTGAGTGGCTAAATGAAAGATCACCCATTGGAGCAATGGAATGTTACAGGACAGTTAATATGATACCTGATTGGAAAAGCTTCCTTGTTTGGAATTGAGAAATCTGTCATCTTGCCTCTGACTGCTTTCAAACATCAGGTTTTGGAAAATCTTAACTGCTGGTGAGACTGGTTGAGGTTTTACCATGTTTGAGTACTTTGATGTAGGGGTGCCAGTGTTGGAGTGGGGTGGACAAAGTCAGAAGTCACACAACACAAGGTTATAGTTCAGCAGGTACGTATGAAATCACAGCTTTCAGAGTGCTGCTCCTTCCTCAGGAGGAGCCAGGTTGTCTGTCATTTGGATAAAAATGGGAATGAAGCAACCATTTCAACCTAGGGCTATTCACTCTTGTAACAGTCCTGCATTCTTAAAGAAGAATAGGTTGAAAGTTGATGGAATGTAAAAGGCCCTTATGTTTTCTGGAACAGTTGGCTCCTAGTGCACTTGCTTACACATCTATTTCACTTCATAAAAATATGTGGAAAGAGTGGGGTACTACGAGCATGATGCACTGAATGGCCAAATCATGAACACCTAAGTTAAGAGTAGGCCATTCAGCCCCTTGAGATTGCTCTGTCCTTCAATAAGATCATGGCTGGTCCGATCATCCCCCAACTCCATTTTCTTGGCTTTTCCCTAGAACCCTTGATTCCCTTACTGATTTAAAAATCTATCAGAGGACTGTTGAGGTTTGGTCATTCAGTATAATCAAGGCTGAGATAAAGGATTTCACAGATTTACAACCTTCTGTAAGAATAAATTCTTCCTCATCTCCAATGACTCCTAATCAGATGTTTGAATAACAAATGACAGACTCTGGGGATAATCAATCCAGACATTTTCATCTGAAAGAAAAGACTTGGCAGTTTATTAATAGTAATGTTAGCAGAGTCAAATTAAACAATCAGGTAGTCTAATTGGTCTGTGCTTTATGACCAGCAATTAAGATCATAGAATACCCACAGTGTGGATCCAGGCCATTCAACCCCACAAATCCACACTAACCCACCAAAAAGCATCCCACCTAGACCCTTTCCCCCCACTTCCCCATGGCTAATGTATCTAACTTACACATCCCTGAACACTACAGGCAATTTAAAGCAACCAATTCACCTAGCCTGCACATGTTTGGACTGTGGGAGGAAATTAGTGCACCTGACAGAAATGCACGCAAACTCCACATAGTTGCCTGAGGATGGAATCGAACCCAGCTCCCTGGTCCTGTGAGGCAGCAGTGCTAACCACTGAGCTGCCCACAAGTTAAGGGATAAATAAAAGAAAACAAAACTGGCCAGATTACTGAAGTGGTTTTCATGATGTGTGTTTCACAGACAAAGATGATTGTTTCTTTGATTTTTCTTAAGATGCTGACCAGGGTCACTTCTATAACTCACTCAGATAAATTCAGTAATACTACTTAAGCTTAATTTCTATTCTCTGAACTTCTGAGAGGAAGGTTTTAGCAGGGAGCTTTCACGTCTTCATTTGCTGTTGCATCAGTAGCCAGATTCATTTTTCTTCCACAGAAAACAGTCCAAAACACAATTCAAACTCTGACACTTATGCTCGGTTCGCAATAAACAACTGCACCTCCCAGTCGCGAACCATTTCAACTCCCCCTCCCATTCCTCAGATGACATGTCCATCCTGGGCCTCCTGCAGTGCCACAACGATGCCACCCGAAGGTTGCAGGAACAGCAACTCATATTCCGCTTGGGAACCCTGCAGCCCAATGGTATCAATGTGGATTTCACAAGTTTCAAAATCTCCCCTCCCCCTACCGCATCCCAAAACCAGTCCAGCTCGTCCCTGCCTCCCTAACCTGTTCTTCCTCCCACCTATCCCTCCTCCCACCTATCCCCTCCTCCCACCTCAAGCCGCACCTCCATCTCCTACCAACTAACCTCATCCCGCCCCCTTGACCTGTCCGTCCTCCCTAGACTGACCTATCCCCTTCCTAACTCCCTACCTACACTCACCTTTACTGGCTCCATCCCCGCCTCTTCGACCTGTTTGTTTCCTCTCCACCTATCCTCTCCTCTATCCCTCTTCTATCCGCCTCCCACTCTCTCCCTATTTATTTCGGAACCCCCTTCCCCTCCCCCTTTTCTGATGAAGGATCTAGGCCCGAAACGTCAGCCTCTCTGCTCCTATGATGCTGCTTGGCCTGCTGTGTTCATCCAGCCCTGCACCTTGTTGTCTCGGATTCATCAGCATCTGCAGTTCCTACTATCTCAGAGTTAGCCAGGGAACCGGGTGGGATGCTCTTTGGGTTGGTGCAGACTCAATGGGCTGCATGGCCTGCGTTCACATTTTAGGGATTCTATAAAGAGAGAGGGGGTGAGGAGGGAGAGAGATAGACCGTGATACAGAAGAGAGAGAGGTCGGGGGATGGAGATGCAAAATGGATAGAGAGTGCAACTGGGTTAGGGAGAGCTAGAGAGAGACAGATGGAGGGACTGATAGAAAGTGCTGTTCTGAGGGTCGTTGTGTAGTTGATGGGCCAAATGGCCTGCTTCCATGCTGTAGGGATTCTGCAGGAATAAACACAGTTAACATTTCGGGTCCGGTGACCCTTCCTCAGAAGGATCTGTTCTGAGGAAGGGTCACTGGATCCGAAACGTTAACTGTGTTTATTCCTTCACAGATGCTGCTAGACCTGCTGACCTTTTCCAGCAACTTTGTTTTTGATCCTGATTTACAGCATACACAGTTCTTTCGGTTTTTACTTTGGCTGGGGGGTAGAACAGGAGATGGGGACAGAGAGCAATAGATTGAGATTGAGAGACAGAGGTGGAGTAATAGTGAGAGCTAGAGAGAAAGATCAAGAAATATATAGAGAGGGAGAGCTAGAGAGGCAGTGTCAGAGACAGAGCAAGAGTTTGAAAAATAGAGATAAACAGTGATATGGAGAGATCAGAGAATAAAGAGACAGCAAGAGAAGGGGAGAGAGAATGGGAACAAGAGCAAGGGGGAGATAGTGGAACAGATAGGGACATCTAGGTAGAGAAGAGGGAGAGATTTGGGGAGCAGATAGAAAGCAATAGATACACCAAGCGAGAGGGAGAGAAATAGTGATGTAGAGAGATGTAAGTAAGCTAACAGATAGGAAGACACATGTTAGATGAAATTTGAGGCAGCAAATTGGTGGGAAGAATGAGGAATAATAGTACAAACTAAATGTTAGAATTTTAAAAGGGGCCAGGAATAACGACTTGACGTTCTATTTACACTGACCTCCAAAGGTAGCAAGATAAAGCTGAGAAAGCTGTTAAAAGGGAAATATTGGATCCTTGACCCTACAAATAGTTGCAGAGACTAGAAAAGCAAGGAAGTTATACTAAACAGTTTCTAAAATACTGGTGAGGCCCAGTTAAGTATTGTGGAAAATTCTGGGTGCCACACTCCAGGAAAGATACCAACATCTTAGAGAGTGTACCCAGGGATGAATTACTTGGTATTGTGAAGATAATTCTTGGCTATGGGGAAAATGGAGGGGAATGGGAAAAAAATGGATAAGACTTTCAGAGAGCCAGTTCAGGCACTGTGGGGCCAATGG